GTTCCACAGGCCTCTGTCTGTCCGCGGGGCCGGGGGCGGTGAGGTGTGAGCGGTTCCACAGGCCTCCGTCTGTCCGCGGGGGCGGTGAGGTGTGAGCGGTTCCACAGGCCTCTGCCTGTCCGCGGGGCGCCCGGGGCGGTGAGGTGTGAGCGGTTCCACGGGCCTCTGTCTGTCCGCGGGGCGCCCGGGGCGGTGAGGTGTGAGCGGTTCCACAGGCCTGTCTGTCCGCAGAGGCGGTGAGGTGTGAGCAGTTCCACAGGCCTCTGTCTGTCCGCGGGGCCGGGGCGGTGAGGTGTGAGCGGTTCCACAGGCCTCTGCCTGTCCGCGGGGCGCCCGGGGCGGTGAGGTGTGAGCGGTTCCACAGGCCTCTTGTCTGTCCGCGGGGCCCGGGGCGGTGAGGTGTGAGCGGTTCCACAGGCCTCTGTCTGTCCGCGGGGCCGGGGGCGGTGAGGTGTGAGCGGTTCCACAGGCCTCTGTCTGTCCGCGGAGGCGGTGAGGTGTGCGCGGTTCCACAGGCCTCTGTCCGCGGAGGCGGTGAGGTGTGCGCGGTTCCACAGGCCTCTGTCCGCGGAGGCGGTGAGGTGTGAGCGGTTCCACAGGCCTCTGTCTGTCCGTGGGGCGGGGGCGGTGAGGTGTGAGCAGTTCCACAGGCCTCTGTCCGTCCGCGGGGCCGGGGGCGGTGAGGTGTGTGAGTGGTTCCACAGACCTCTGGAGCCAGTGGCAGATGAGCACTGCACAGGCAGCCTTTGAAGGCTGTGGCGGACACATGCCGGCAGACAAGCCTCTGCTGGTGGTGGAGCCAGGAGGAACAGGAGTAAAAGTGGCGAGTCTTTGGAAGCGTGTTGAGCAGCTCTGCTTTGCATGGAGCCCAGGGTTTGTTGAGTGGTGGGGCTGAAGCTAGACGGGTGGTTGACATCCTGTTACAGAGTACCTTGGAGACCAGGGTGAAACTTGAGGCCCACTTGGATAGCTGTGGTAGGGGCCACATGGTAAGCATTGACCTTCGGGTGATACAGCTGCTAGTAAGGTATAGGAGTATCTGAAACGGGAGATGACAGAAGGAGATTTGCTCCTGTGTCAGGTGATGAGGGGGAAGGCATGAAAACGGAAAGAAGGTTCTGGTGGAAGGAGGGTGCCATCCACTGTGATGGTGTAGTGTTGGAGATGACAACTGTGGGGAACCAGCAAAAAGTGGAAGATGCCTGCTCTTTCAAGCTTGAGTTGAGGGGAGAATAGTGAGTAGTGCGTTTGAAAAAAATAACCAAGTCCAGTAGAATGTGGAGTTTGTGGGTTTGTTTCTTAATCTTAAGAGGAGAGGATGCTATGAAATTAATTTTGAACCTGCTGAGGGTGAAAGAAAGCGATTGAAAGCATAGAATCAATCAATAGCAGAGGTTGTAGGGAACGTGAAGATTTCCCAGTTGTAGAGACTGAGAGATTGGAGCCCGGGGATTGGATTGGCTGTTCTGTTCTGCGCTCAGCCCAGGGAGCAGTTACCGCAGACCTGAATCAGGATTTATCAAGGCTGCTTTGGGCGGAGCAGGGACTCCGGACAGAGCTAGATTGGCAAAACTGCTGTGCACCTGTTTCTGTACATTTTTATGGGAACACAGGCACACCACTTGTTCACACATCATCTCTGGCTGCTTTTGCTCTACAGTGGCAGAGCTGAGTAGTTGAGACAGAAACTGTACATGTACAGCCCATCGGCCTAAACTATTTACTCTCTGGCCCTTTAAGAGAAAGATTTCCAGCCCCTGGTCTAGTTAGCCGAAATTGTCACTGAAGAAAACCGGTACATGCAAATGCTGTGAGTGCCTCGATGAGTACCTAGATTGTGTGCAGTGGGCTTCAGGGCAGTGAATCTCCCTAGGGCTGTGTCAAACAGAGTCCTAAAGGCTGCACCTAAAGCTACTCACAACAGACAAAGAGCCATCTCCCTGAGCACATAACACATTTGGAATTGGGGTCACTTAATGATCTCAGCAAGGCTTAGCTAAAAAAGCTACAGCTAGAAATATGCACGTGGGATGTGTCTGTGTCGGGGTTTGAAGCTGAGTGAACATGAAAGATTGTGTAGGCCAGGCATGGTGGCTCACTCCTGTAATCCCAACACTTTGGGAGGCCAAGGCGGGTGGATCACCTGAGGTCAGGAGTTTGAGACCAGCCTGGCCAACATGGTGAAACCACATCTGTACTAAAAATAGAAAAATTAGCCTGGCGTGGTGGTGTGTGCCTGTATTCCCAGCTACCGGGAAGGCTGATGCAGGAGAATTGCTTCAGCCAGGAGGCAGAGGTTGCAGTGAGTTGAGATTGTGCCACTGCACTCCAGCCTGGGCAACAGAGTGAGACTCCATCTCAAGAAAAAGAGAAAGAATCAGACCAAGTGCAGAAATCTGGAAAGGAGCATTTGTTGGCTCTAAGAGACAGATGCCCTAATGAAGGACAGACAGAGACCAAAAGCAGGCAGTGAAAGTGGTTTAGAGTCTAGTTCTTTTTTTTTTTTGAGTTGGAATTTCCCTCTGTTGCCAGGCTGGAGTGCAGTGGCGTGATCTCGGCTCACTGCAACCTCCAACTCCCTGGTTCAAGTAATTCTCCTGCCTCAGCCTTGCCAATAGCTGGGATTACAGGCATGCACCACCACGCCCAGCTAATATTTGTTTTTTTGAGACGGAGTCTCACTTTGTTGGCCAGGCTGGAGTGCAGTGGCGTGATCTCAGCTCACTGCAAGCTCCACCTCCCGGGTTCACACCATTCTCCTGCCTCAGCCTCCCGAGTAGCTGGGACTACAGGTACCCACCACCACGCCTGGCTAATTTTTTGTATTTTTAGTAGAGACGGGGTTTCACTGTGTTAGCCAGCATGGTCTCAATCTCCTGGACCTCGTGATCCGCCTGCCTTGGCCTCCCAAAGTACTGGGATTACAGGTGTGAGCCACCATGCCCGGCCTAGAGTCTAATTTTTGTTTGATGTCTGAACCTTGAAGATTTTGGTTTTCTATCACATAATGAGGCAGAAGTCATACCTGATTTAACATGCTCAATGCATTTCCTTTAACAGTAAAGTGGTGTTCGCAGTTGAAAATAGAATCTTACACATGTTTTGTTTTTAAATTCAGATGATGGAGCAGTGGCATCACCTGACCTTGGGGACATGTCTCCTGAAGGGCCACAGCCCCCCATGATCCTCTTGCAGCAGCTGCTGGCCTCGGCCACCCAGCCGTCTCCTGTGAAGGCCATATTTGATAAACAGGAACTTGAGGTACAGCCAGGCAGCCTTGACAGTTTTTAATCCACAGTACTAAATTGTGAACAATTTTTTTCTAGATGTATACTTTCTTAAGGATCTATTCTGAATTTTAAATGATAGTATGCAAATAATTCTAATGATGCATTAGGTTTTAACCATGTTTGTGCATAGTCTGCAGAAAATTATAATACTAAAGACGGAGAGGGTTGAAGTTTAACCTTATTTTGGATTTGTGTAAATCATTAAAAAGTATTAACTAGATGCAGCATGGGTTAAATGCTCACATCTTCATGAAGGGATCTTTTTCCAGGAAGTAGAGTTACTCAAAGAGGCTCATCAGGACTCTGGCACCCGCTTGTTTGTTTCATTCAGTCAGGAGCCTCTTTGGGTGTGCTCTGGTGCCGCCAGCCTCTCAGCTCTCCCCATGCTGTGGAGCAGGTGAGGGCAGTGGCGAGGCGCACGGTCAGGGCTATAGGCTGTTCCCGCAGAAGAGGCCACGTGATTGAGTGTAAGAGGGATGGGAGCTTTCATGGCTGGCAACATAGAGGATTAGAGATGTTCCAAAATCTTTCTTGCTGCGTAATACATTAAAAATCTGGGTAAAATATCAAAGACAAAAATAAAACTGTCAGTATTCAGTTTGGCAGTCAGAAATTACCCTAACAGAAACCCTCAGTGAGCAGGGCCCTTCTCGAAGCAAGGGTCCAGGTGAGGCAGCCTCTGCCTTGGGCAGGTGGAAGCCCTCCCCCATACCTAGAATGCTGAGCAAGTTGAGAGCACGTGGGGTGGTGCACAGCCTGTAGTCATGCTGGGAGATGCCGAATGTTAACACCTAGAAGGCCACGTAGAGTTGTCTTTCAGGAATTGCGAAGGACTGTTGTACCAAAACGAGACCTTCCGCTGTTTTGTCTCCATGGATTCCGATGGAAAGTCGTTGTTCTTATCTCTTCTTTTGTATGAAATGTCTTTTTTCTCTGGTTGCTTTTTGTATTTTCTGTTATCTTTGGTTTTCTGCAGTTTCACTGAGCTGGGCTCATGTATGCCATGGTGGCCCACCCCACCCATCCCACCATCCTTGAAATTTGCTTAAGCTGCTTGCATCTTTGGCTTGATTTTTGTTCCCTTACCAAATTTGGAAACTTTTGACTATTGTTTTTTCCCCCATCTTGCTCCTTTTGTTCTTTTCTGGAAATACTCTTATACATCTGTTACACTGTTAGTGAGTTCCTTTTAGGATTTTAATAGAAAGTCTTTTTTCTCATTGTTAGTAGCTTGGTTAGTTTCTCCTGATCTGTTTGAAAGGTCAAGATGCTTTGCTTTGTTGGGCCTAATCTGTTAAGTCCATCCAAGAAATACTTTATTTTATATTTCTCACATCTCTTATTTCCATTTGGCTCTCATTTAATAGTTTTACATCTCTTCTGACAGTTCCCATCGTCATCCCTTAAGTCTATCCTTTTTTTGATTAGACGGAGTCTCGCTCTGTCACCAGACTGGAGTGCATTGGCATGGTCTCGGCTCACTGCAACCTCTGACTTCTGGGTTCGAGTGATTCTCCTGCCTCAGCCTCCCGAGTAGCTGGGACTACAGGTGCCCGCTACCACGCCCGGCTAATTTTTGTATATTTAGTAGAGATAGGGTTTCACCATGTTAGCCAGGCTGGTCTTTAACTCCTGACCTCGTGATCCACCCACCTTGGCCTCCCAAAGTGCTGGGATTACAGGTGTGAGCCACCACGCCTGGCCAAATCTGTCTTTTACTATACTTTTTTTTTTTTTTTTTTTTTTGAGACGGAGTCTCGCTCTGTTGCCCAGTGGCCGCTCGCAGTGCCGGATCTCACCAATCGACTGCAAGAGCTCGCCTCCCGCGGTTCCACGCCTTCTGCACTGCTCAGCCTCCGGAGATAGCTGGGACTACAGGCGCCTGCCACTCGCCCGGCAGTTTTTTGTGATTTTTTTTTTTTTTAATAGAGATGGGGTTACTGTGTGTAGCCAGGATGATCTGCGAGTTCTGACCTCGTGATCCGCCCGTCTTGGCCGCCCAAAGTGCTGGGATTACAGGCTTGAGCCACGGTGCTCGGCCTACTATACATTTTAAAACATATGATAGTTATGTTGAATTTCTGGTTTGCTAATTCTAATGTCTGCCCACCTGTTGGTGTGCTGCTCTTTGCAGTTTTTTTTTTTTTTCCTTGATTATAGTCAGTTTTTGGTGGTGGTTCTTTACATATGTGAGAATTTTGATTTCATTCTGGACTCTTTGGATATTACATTGTATTGACTCTGAGTTCCTCCTCTGGAGAACGGGGAGTTTTCTTCTCATAGGCAGTTCAGTACCTGGCACTCCTTGATCCTGAGGTGGCTTGGTGCTAGGGTTTCTGATAATTTTTTATATGCCCTTAGCCCTGGTTGTGAATCCTTAATTCTCAAGGATTTAGAATCTCTTCTGGGCTTCACTGGAAGCTCTGACATTCTCCTCCCTACCTCTAGTTGGTTGAGCTTGAGCCTCAGGTGCTGTCCTGGCCCTGGGCAGCTGGGGAGCCCCTGCAACCTTCCAGCAGTCCCTTTGTGCGGAGCCAGGCTCTTCAGAGGTGCTTCAGCTGAGATTCAGCTGTAGATAAGTGGGTAGTTCGTCCGAACATTTTGTGGTTTTCCCTCTGCGGTTTCTTTCTCAGGCAGGCTTTCCCTCGCATTCTGGTTGCTCTGGCAGGCGGGACCCCAGCCCCTGCAGTGCAGGAAGGTGCACTGTCTGTGGTTAAACGTGCATCTTGCCTGCAGGCTTCTCTGCGTCACGGGTTGTGCTCATTTTATTGCTGATTGCTTCAGCTATTCTCCGGTGCCCTCAAGCAGTTTTATAGAATATTTTATCCAGAGTTCATGATTATTATCAGCCAAGGGTTGGTCCAGTGCACCCTAACTCCCCATTATCAGAACCAGAACTCTTGGCTCAATCTGGCTCTGAATTTTAAACTTTTAGCATGAAAACTATCACTTCCAAGTTACCCAGACTTCACTGCAGAACCCTAGTCTTTGATACTTCTGAGCACTGGGGGATTCCACAGTGTCCTCGGTTTCTTCGTGATTCCTTCCTCACATGGTCAGTTTAACAAAATAGCAAGTCAGTGCTATGAGAGCAGCTCGGGAGGGGGACCAGAGAGTTGCAGACAGATGAGGGAAGTGCTGTTTGCGTTGTCAGTGGGGAGTTCCCAGCTGCAGAGACGCAGTTTAGATGTTCACTGTTTCATTGCAGTGTGTTTCCCAACTAATACTCTTTTATTTCTCTTATTTTGTAATACCTTGTTTAACCTCACTGTGGTTATTTAACCCTTGAATAGTTGGGGGTTGGTTTAATGGTACATGAGAGTCCTGTGTCATTTCTGGCCTGTCTAAAACACAGGTGCCTGTGGTCAGCACCGTGCCCAGTTAAGGCGGGGGGAATGCCTTTCTCCCTGCTCCCATCTCAAGCCCCTGTGACTGCTCGCTTAGGGCTGTGATGACATTTTCCTTAATGGACATTGATACTTGGCTAATTTAGTAGGCTCTCTGTCTGCTGAATCAGGAAAGTTATTTTACCACCAAGTATTTTCTCTGCATTAAACTGCGAAACTTGGCTTTGTCATTTTCTAACATGTTTTAGGAACTCACTGAAAAACGCACATGTGCACGTGGGCTTCCTAGACTTGCGTGCCGCAGTTCACAGTAGAAGCCATCGCCCCGTGTTCCTAGACTGTAAGCTAGCCGAGGGCACTTCCCACACCTCCCAGGACCCTCTTGTCTGCCTAGGCTGCTGCACTGGCCGTGTGCCAGTGCTTGGCTGTGGAGTCCACTCACCCTTCGAGCCCAGGATTTGAAGACTGCAGCTCCAGTGAGGCCACCACGCCTGTCGCCGTGCAGCACATCCGCCCGGCCAGAGTGAAGAGGCGCAAGCAGTCTCCCGTTCCCGCCCTGCCCATTGTGGTGCAGCTCATGGAGATGGGATTTCCCAGAAGGAACATCGAGTTTGCGCTGAAGTCTCTCACCGGTGCTTCCGGGAATGCATCCGGCTTGCCTGGTACTTCATTTTCCTGGCCTCTGCTTGCGTGTGTGTGGGTTCCTGCTTCAGGGCTACTGGTTCACAGTAGCCTGTGGTGGGCTGTGTGTGCTTCTCTTAGGTGTGGAAGCCTTGGTCGGGTGGCTGCTGGACCACTCCGACGTCCAGGTCACGGAGCTCTCGGATGCAGACACAGTGTCCGACGAGTATTCTGATGAGGAGGTGGTGGAGGACATGGACGATGCTGCCTACTCCATGGTCAGTGCCTCCTGTGTGACCGCCTGCCCCTGGGCCGCTGTCTGTCTCGCGCTCTGACAATCTTACACCTTGGCTTTCTCTGTCTCTTGAAAGAACTAACTGTACCTACTGTGGACTGTTTCATAAAACCAACTTATGGTATTGCCGGGCACAGGACAAAGCTGTGTTTCACTCTTGAAGACGTGATTAGGTTTCTATATCATAATTACTTTTAGCTTTAGAACAGACCCTTGTTCAAACATCTAATGATCTTCAGTAGCCATTAGAAGATATTTTATTAAAATACCATGTTTTGACACATCAGTTTCTGACCCGAGTAAATTGTTCGTAGGATTTGTTTGGAAGTGCCTTGGAAATTTTGTATACTTGTAGCTTTTGAGATCCATTTCTGCCTACTATGCTACTGCTATTAGTCTTTTTTTTTTTTTTGAGATGGAGTCTTGCTCTGTCACCCAGGCTGGAGTGCAGTGGCCGGATCTCAGCTCACTGCAAGCTCCGCCTCCCGGGTTCACGCCATTCTCTTGCCTCAGCCTCCCAAGTAGCTGGGACTACAGGTGCTCGCCACCTCGCCCGGCTAGTTTTTTGTGTTTTTTTTAACAGAGACGGGGTTTCACCGTGTTTGCCAGGATGGTCTCGATCTCCTGACCTTGTGATCCGCACGTCTTGGCCTCCCAAAGTGCTGGGATTACAGGCTTGAGCCACCACGCCCGGCCTGTTAGTCTTTTTTAAATGAAGATCTTTATAGGGAAAATAAAGGATTTCATCCTCTACTTTTTAATATTTTAGATTTCACAGACTTATTTCTTTTTGAGTAGGTTTATCGAGTTGTCCTTTTTTTTTTTTCTTTGAATGTATTTATCTCTTGTAGTCTACTGGTGCTGTTGTGACGGAGAGCCAGACCTACAAAAAACGAGCTGATTTCTTGAGTAATGATGATTATGCTGTATATGTGAGAGAGAATATTCAGGTGAGTAATCGTCTTAAGCTGGAGCCTCGATCCGTTTTTCATTCAGCAGATATTTGAGTATGTCCTATATGCCAGACATCAGTGGACAGAGGTCCCTGCCCTCAGGGAACTTGCTTTCTGGTGCTAGAAGACATACCTCACCAGTGAGCTCATGACAGGCTAGAAGGTGCTGTGTACCCTGGAATGAGAAAGAGCAGACCACAGTAAAGGGGTGGGAGTGGGGGCACATTGCAGGGATGGGGGGCTACAATGAGAAAGTGAGATGGGTGCAAAGCCTGCAGGGTGTGAAGGGTGGCTCAGCAGGACGGGTGGCACCCAGACAGAGGCTGCTGTGGCTGCCCCAGAGTAGTCAGAGGACAGAGGGGCAGATGATGGGCTCGGGGGAAGCCAGAGAGCACAAGTGGCCTGTCCACGGTGGACATGGCGCAGAGATGGCGGTTTTCTGCTAGCCCCGCTTGTGACACTTCCTACATACCTTTCCTTGTTTTTCTTATGTAATTCTCATTGCCATCAAACTTTAAAAATCTAATTATGTTTTATATAGTCCTTTATCTACTTTAAATCATTTCTTGTCCTAATTCTCTTGTTTTAGTATGTTTTAGAGAAAATCCCCCAAATCATCTCATTTCACCTGTATATATGTCAGTATGTATCCCTAATGAAGAATCTTAACATGATGACATTTCTGTTTACCAACATTACCTAACAAAAGAAATAATACTTCCTTAATATCATCTCATACCTAATGCTTGCTTGTAGTTTTCCAGTTTTCTCAGAAATGGCTTTAATGGTTAGTTTTTGAACTTGGATACAGCCAAGATTGTATGCCTTATCTGCATTTGGTTGGTGGATCTTTGAAGTCTATTTCAACCTAGAGTGGTTCCCCCTTGTCTTAGCTCAGTCTGCTGTAACACAGTACCGTAGACCTGGCGGCTTCAACAGCGGATACTTACTTTTCATGGTTCTGGAGGCTGGAAATCCAAGATCAAGGTGCCAGCTTGGCTGGTTTCTGGTGATGGCCCTCTTCCTGGCTTGTAGGTGGCTACCTTTTTTTTTTTTTTTTTTGAGATGGAGTCTTGCTCTGTCGCCCAGGCTAGAGTGCAGTGGTGCGATCTCCACTCACTGCAACCTCCGCCTCCCGCGTTCACGCCATTCTCCTGCCTCAGCCTCCCGAGTAGCACGCCCGGCTAATTTTTTTGTATTTTTAGAAGAGAAGGGATTTCACCATGTTAGCCAGGATGGTCTTGATCTCCTGACCTTGTGATCCACCTGGTCAGGTGGCTGCCTTCTTGCTGTGTCCTCCTGTGGATGTGGGGCTGGGGATGTGGGGAGCTGGAGCTAACAGGGGAGGACTGGTGTCTGTTGTTTTTTTTTTTTTTGAAATGAAGTATTGCTCTTGTTGCCTAGGCTGGAGCACAGTGACACGATCTTGGCTCACTGCAACCTCTGCCTCCTGGGTTCAAGCGATTCTCCTGCCTCAGCCTCCCGGGTAGCTGAGATTACAGACATGTACCACCACGCCTGGTTAATTTTATATTTTTAGTAGAGACGAGGTTTCTCCATGTTGGTCAGGCTGGTCTCGAACTCCTGACCTCAGGTTATCTGCCCGCCTTGGCCTCCCAAAGTGCTGGGATTACAGGCGTGAGCCACCGCGCCCGGCCTGGAGTCTCTTATAAAGACCCTAATCCTGTTGGGTCAGATCCCCACTCTTAGGACCTGATTTTACCTTAATGACCTCCTTAGAGGCCCTGTCTCCTAATACAGCCACATTAGGAGTTGGGACTTCATGAATTTTGTGGGGGACGTAAACATTCATTTCATAGTAACCCTCCTTCTCCCTTCCTCTCCTTTCATGCTGTTTATTTGTGGGTGAAACTATGTCTTCCGAATGCCTTATAGTCTGGATTGGGTGGGGGCTTCCTTGTGGTGTTGGCTAACATCTTCTTCTCTCCCTGTTTCTCCAATACAGTAGGAGTTAGGGTTGGAGGGTGGTTGGACCAGGCTGAATCTCAGGCAGGAAGCTTCATAGGCATGTACTCCCTCCTGCCCCTTCTCAACAGGCAAACAGGTTTGGGTGGGTGAGGTCTTGTCAGCCTGCTCCTTCCTTGATGACATTCTGTATTAATTGTCCATCTCATAGCTCCAGTAGGCATTAGTGTCATCACCTAGACCTATCATTAGGGGCTGCACCATAGTGATTTTCTAACTTCATCTTTTCTGAGTTCGTTAGCTGGAATTCTCTTCTGGGAAAAAAAGCTCTGTTATTAATCTTGGTTACTCTTGATAATACAGGGAGACTTTATCAGTTTTCAGAATGATGCATTGGTGTTCTGCTATGTATAAAGATGACCAGCAAGCTTTGTTTTCCTTATTATCATGATGACCAATCCATTGGCTTTTAGGGAGTGATGTTTCCACTGTTACGTTTTTGATGATCAGAGGATGCTTTTGAGTGAACCTGGTAATCTTTGAAAGCTCTCTTGCTTTATGACACAAGTTGATCCAGGCTCTTCCTATATATTTCCTGCCTGAGACACAAAGCCAGCCAGTTTTTTAAAGAGTTTCTGTTCACTTTAGCATTAAATAATACTTAAAACGCACTCTGGGTGCTAGATGAAATTCTTCTTTTTTTGGAGCTGGAATCTCACTTTGTCACTCAGGCTGGAGTACAGTGGTGTGCTCTTGGCTCATTGTAACCTCCACCTTCAGGCTCAAGCAATCCTCTCAACTCAGTCTTACAAGTAGCTAGGACCACAGGCATGCGCCACCACGCCCGGCTAATTTTTGTAGTTTTGGTGGAGATGGCATTTCACCATGTTGCCCAGGTTTGTCTCAAACTCCTGAGCTCAAGCGATCCTCCTGCCTCAGCCTCCCAAAGTGCTAGGATTACAGATGTGAGCCACCGTGCCCAATCAAAATTCTGTATTAATAATAGAGTAATACCACTTATCATGACTCATTTCACCTGTGTACAGATGGACTGGATGTCCAATTTCATTTTAATTCTAGGTGGGAATGATGGTTAGATGCTGCCGAGCGTATGAAGAAGTATGTGAAGGCGATGTTGGCAAAGTCATCAAGCTGGACAGAGATGGATTGCATGATCTCAATGTGCAGTGTGACTGGCAGCAGAAAGGGGGTACTTACTGGGTTAGGTACATTCATGTGGAACTTATAGGTGAGCACATTCTTTGTTCAGTACTTTTGCTTTTTCTTAGAGACAGAAGTCCCATAAGTGAATGCTGATTATAATGATTTGTTACTGAAATCTGTAGGCTATCCTCCACCAAGTTCTTCTTCTCACATCAAGATTGGCGATAAAGTGCGGGTCAAAGCGTCTGTTGCCACACCGAAATACAAGTGGGGATCTGTGACTCATCAGAGTGTGGGCGTTGTGAAAGGTAATATTATCTGGGTAATAAAACTCCTGATGTTAACTTTTCATTAACGCATGTGTACTCAGTATTTCTTTTTGTTTAAGCACACAAAAAAGAAAACAAGTGTGAAGAAAGAGAGAGAGTGTTTTTGCTTGTCAGTGCCTTCTGCCAAAGGCTACAGAGGAACTCACCTGCAGTGAAACAGTCAGATTTATTAATATTAACTCATTGCAGTGCAGGAGAACACACACCTTGGGGAATGGGTGTCTCCATCAGAGGGAGTAAGCGAGGACTAGGGAAGTTGATGTTGGGTATTTGGGGGAGGGGTTGAAGAAGCAGGGGTAATTCTAAGACAGGGCGTCTTAATAAATTTACCTAGCAGGCAGAAAGAATGGAGCCATGCTAAAGTCATGATTGGTAAGGAAGCAGTCATTCATATCATCAGATAGGGGACTGTGTGGTGGTTTGTGGTTGTTTGTGGTTTGGATTAGAATCGACTTTAATCATACACGGTTAAGGAGGGGTTTTGGTTGTGCCTTGATCCATCAGTCACAGAGTGGCCTTATCTGATGCTGGTGTTCTGTAAACCTGTCCTGTCAGTTGTTTGTGAAATGGCCTAACGCTGACATTAACAGGCCAGCTCCTGACTGTCAGGACTGCTTTTCCTTTCTCCCCCGCTGACCAGGCTGGAGTGCAGTGGGGCCATCTCAGCTCACTGCAACCTCCGCCCCCAGGTTTAAGCAATTCTCCGGTCTCAGGCTCCAGAGTAGCTGGGATTACAGGTGCCCACCACCATGCCTGGCTAATTTTTGTATTTTTAGTAGAGACAGGGTTTCACCGTGTTGGCCAGGCTGGTCTCAAACTCCTTACCTATTGATCCGCCCATCTCAGTCTCCCAAAGTGTTGGGATTACAGGTGTGAGCCACCACGCCTGGCTCTCTTTTTCATGCTATATAAAAATTTAGGACTGAATTTAAGACATGGAGATGTGCTAATGGGAACTAGGAACTGGAAACAATTCTCAGATTATATTTAATATGATACTATTGAGATTCCAAATCAAATCCGTGGCACACTTTGAAAGGTATACTATGTCCGTTTTAACAGTTGCATGAGAAATAAGTATGTGTATAGTTTTATAAACTCTTGGTGCCATAAAGAGATTGTTCGTTTGAACCTTGTGGAAAGCTCTCTTTTCATCAAATCGCTTAGAAAATGGCCACAATTGGTGGTGATTTCCCAGTGGTGAGAGGTTCTTAGAGCTTCTCATGTTACATAAGAACAAATGGATTATTTAATATTTTACTTTAAACATTGTTTTTTGCTTAAGAGATTGTTAAAGTATTTGCAAATCAAAACAAGACAAATTTTAAAAATAAGAATTTGGTTTCTTTGTTTCGAGTGACACATTGCTCTTATCAAAGGACAAAATAAGTCTCTATTAATGTGGTTTTTATTCCCTGAGATACTAAAGGTGGTATATGGAATTGTTGACTTGGTGGAATTAAAAACCAAAACGTCCTGTTTTAAACCTAATACAAAAGTAAAGAATGTAGTTTACAATGAACCTCCATGTGCTCATTACCTGGCTTTGACATTCGTCACCTCACGGCCAAAATTATTCATGCTCCCTTCTTGGGATTATTTTGAAACCAGTCGCTGACATCATGTATTATTTCATCCATAAGTATTTTAGTACCTATCTCTAAAAGATACACTCTCTGTAAAAAACAAATTACTACAATGTAGTGTGACATGGCTAGGTGCAGTTTCAGGTTCAGGTTTTTATTGGTGAAGAGGAAGATGGGTCAGGTGATTTCTGTTCTGTCCTAGCTTTCAGTGCCAATGGAAAAGATATCATTGTCGACTTTCCCCAGCAGTCTCACTGGACTGGGTTGCTGTCAGAAATGGAGTTGGTCCCCAGTATTCATCCTGGGGTTACGTGAGTTGTTTTTATGATTGCTAGATTTGCTTTGGGACGAATGGTTTTCTGTTGAATTAAGTTTAATAAATGACCTTTCTTAACTCCGTTGCTGTTTTACAAATAGGTGTGATGGATGTCAGATGTTTCCTATCAATGGATCCAGATTCAAATGCAGAAACTGTGATGACTTTGATTTTTGTGAAACGTGTTTCAAGACCAAAAAACACAATACCAGGCACACATTTGGCAGAATAAATGAACCAGGTATGGCAGAATGTTTATATTCTCTCTTCCACCGAATATTAATGAAGTTCTTACTGTGGACCACAGGGTATTGGAATTTGTTATTTTAAGGTTCCTGTGTATTCGGTGAACTCTGTACAGTGAGTACAGTGAAGCGGAAGTGACAGTCCTACCCACTGATGACTGGCTGGCTTTTCAAAAAAAATCAAGACGGCGTATCGGGGAAGAAATAGAATAACTAGGCTTATTTGCTTGTATTTCCATTAAAAAACGTTAAAAGAATCTCAAGAAACTAGTCACTGTTTAGTTGCATGGCATGTGGAATTGGTTAGATGGAGAGTGAGTTTTTAAATTTATATACCTTTTATTATATTTTTCATTGTGGCAAAATATATATAACTTAAAATTAGCCATTTAAGCATTTTCGAAGTTTATAATTCGGGGTATTAAGTACCTTAAGTACAGTGTTGCACAACCATCACAGCTGTCTATTACCAAAACTTTTCACCACTCCAATGAAAAACTCTGTACCCAGTAAGCAATTTAACTGCCCTACTTCCCCCTACCCCACCCCTGGTAACCTTGAATCTGACTTTGGTCTCTGTGAATATGACCACTCCAGACACCTCATCTAGACGGAACCATATAAGATTTATCCTTTTGGGTTTAGCCTAATGTCTTCAAGCTTCATCCATATTGTAGCATGTGTCAGAACGTTCTCCTTTTTAGTGGCTGAATAATATTCCACTGTATGCATATATCACTTTTTTTCTTTGTGAGACAGAGTCTCACTCTGTCACCCAGGCTGGAGTGCAGTGGCGTGATCCTGGCTCACTGTAACCGCCACCTCCCGGGTTCAACGATTCCTCCTGGTCTCAGCCTCCTATATGCCTGGATTACCAGGCTTGCCCGCCAAGCCTCAGCTAACTGTTTGTATTTTTTTTAATTCTTATGTTTCTGAAAAACAGAGTCTCACTCCTGTCCTAATAAGGGAGGTATATGTTATGTACATTTTTAGTTTAGTAGATTTACTCAAGATCAAATTAATACATATATTTTTGACTCATTTAATCTATTATTATTTTAGTATATCTCCTCACTAAACAATGCCAGAGACCTTAGTTCTCTTAACATCATTATCTCATTCTGATTTAATATGTCTTAACATATGCAAATTTTTTTTCTTTCTTTTTTTTGAGACGTGAGTTCTCACTGCTGGCTTCCCAGGCTGGAGGTGGCAGTGGCACGATTCCTGGCTCCACTGGCAACTGCCATCTCCGGCCGGTTCCAAGCGATTTCTCCTGCCTCATCCCTCCCAAGTAGCTGGAAACTACAGGCTCCTGCCCACCATGCCTGGGCTAATTTTTTATATTTTAGTTAGAGAGACGATGTCACTGGTGTTGCCCGGCTGGTCCCTTTGAATCCTGACCGTCATGTGATCCGCCCACCTTTGGGCCTCCCCCAAAGTGCTGGGGTCTATGTGCATGAGCCACCGCATCAGTTAAATTTTACAACATTTTATTACAATATACATCCTTTTAACAGAATATATGGAAGGGGACATTCTTATAGGCGCACAGAAAATGTTCATAAATGATCAAAGATTTGGCTGGGCCAGTGGCTCACGTCCCACCCAAGCTTCGGTGTACAGTGCCTGCAATTTCGGCTCACTGCGAAGGCTCTCACACTCGCCGGGTTCACGCGCATTTTCTGCCTCAGCCTTCCCGAGTAGCGCGGGGACTACAGGCGCGCCCCCAAAAACGGCACCGGGGCCTAATTTCTTTGTATTTTTAGTAGAGACGGGGTTCAACCCGTGTTAGCCAGGATGGCTCGATCTCCGCGACCTCATGACCGACTCCATCGTAATCCCCCAGCACTTTTGGGAAGGCCGACGGGCCAAGGCGGATCATGAGCGTCCTGGCGTTAACCCGGGAGGCGGAGCTTGCAGTGAGCCGAGATCGCAACACTGCACGCCAGCCTGGGTGACAGAGGGAGACTCCATCTCAAAAAAAAAAAAAAAATTAAAATTAAAAAAGTCAAAGGATCGAACAATACGTGCAGGGCATGTGATGATTTTTATGTAGTCAATATTCATTTAGATTTTTCTGCATACTTTGAAATTTCTCTCCACTTTTTTCTTCCTCTTTAATTTTCCATCTGTACTGTTTTTCTCCTGCCTGAAAATACTCCTTAATATTTTTAAAAATGTGTCTTTGTTGGTTACAAATTATGTATTTTTGTATGTCTGAAAATGTATTTCTTTATTATTGAAAAGTCTTTTTGCTAGGTGTTTTGTTTCAGCACTTTAAAAATACTATTCCACTACAATTTGGTTAATATTGTTTCCCCTGAAGTTGGCTGGTAGTCTAATTGTGATTCATTAAAGCGCATCAATCTTTTGATTTTTCCTTCGTCTGCTTTTGAGAGGGTCTTTTTGTTTTCATCTTGCACAGGTTTTACATGTGCATGGAGATGTTTATCATTCTTGAGGTTGGTGGGACTTCTGGGGCATGACATCTTTTGTCTGTTTCGGAAAATTCTGTGTTTCAGTATTTCTTCACATGTTGCCTCTGCTCTATTCTCTTTTTTGTCTTTTTGCGGGGGAACTCTTCTTTCAGTTGTGTTAGGCCTAACCTCTGTCCTGCAAATCTTTTACCTACTTGTTATGTTTTCTAAACTTTTGCCCCTCAGTTCTTCATTCCGGATATTTTTACTTTCTCTTCAGCTGAGTTCAATGTGTTCTTAACTTACTCATTAAGTTCTTAATTTTAATTATTGGATTTATCAGTTCTAGTCTATTTTATTTTCAGTAGTTTTTGGTTCTGTGCTGAAATATCTTTTTGGACACAGTAAGCATAGTTATTATATTAAAGTCTGTGTCTTCTAACTCCAATATATGGAGCCCTTGTGGGTCTGTTTCTATCCTATCATTTCTGGTAATTTTTAGTCACGTTTTCTTGCCTCTACGTGTGTCATTATGCACTGCACATTGTATTTAAAAAATTATTTCTTGACTCAATTTGAGGCTAATGTTATTCTCCAAGGAATGGCGGAGAGAAGGTTGTTCTGTGAGATACTTGGTAAAGGTTAGTGACTATCTGGGCTCATCTTAATCAGCATTTATTGATCGAGGTGATTTTATGCGTGAGCTGCAATCTGTTGAGAAAAAAAAAGGGAAACCCAAAGACCCTTCATAGTTCACCCTGACTTTTGGGGTGTTTTCTGTTGGGGTTCCAAGGGTGAGTTGCGTTTCTGTGGCATCCTCAGCCTTTCTGGTCTTTCTGGACCCCATTCCTTTCCCTTCTCTTTACGAAGCTATTGAAATGCGATGTGCCCCCTCAGGGACTTTGCTTGGAACCTGGGGATGCCATCAGGGAACAGCAGCCTCTGATCCATGGTGTGCGTCATCTTGACACCTCCATTTGCCTCGAGTCTTCCGGTGGTTCTGACCTTGTAATTCTTTATTATCTCATGAATTCTGATAGTCTGAAGAGGATTTATTTATTTTTGAGTGTTTTGTTTGGCTTTAGTAGTTGTCCTCGATGGGGAATGCCAGTTGAATTCCAGATTTGCCAACTAATGAAAGTGGAAGCACTTTACAATTTACTTTTTGCCTTGTATTTATAAAAGCATTTTTAATAAGAATGGTTTTTGTGAGTGCTGTTATTGAACTTTTCCCACAGCTTATTTGTATCCTGTTTGTTTGGAAATATATTAATCTGCTGTTGTTTCCTGGGAGGTTTTAGTAGAATAAATCATACCGTTATGTGGACTTCATCTCATAAATTGGTGTAATATGTCTTGACTAGGGAAGCCATTTGTGGCATTTGTTAGCTCCTTTCAGTTTGAAACTTTCTATTTTTCTTTTAGAAAGAAGCTCCTCACTATGTAATATTCTTTACCGCCTGATCATGATGTTTCTTTCTCCCCAGTTCAGCAAGGGTTAATTCTCTTTTTGACCATCATGAAATAGGTCAGTCTGCGGTATTTTGTGGCCGTTCTGGAAAACAGCTGAAGCGTTGCCACAGCAGCCAGCCAGGCATGCTGCTGGACAGCTGGTCCCGCATGGTGAAGAGCCTGAACGTGTCGTCCTCCGTGAACCAGGCATCCCGTCTCATTGACGGCAGTGAGCCCTGCTGGCAGTCATCAGGGTCGCAAGGAAAGGTAGCGTGTGATAGGGCACAGCAGCGGGCACTTTCACACGGGTGGTTTTGCCTTGTACATTTTCAAAATGAACTTTGAGCAGCCTGCAAAGTTTTGCTGATAGCACCTGTCAGTACTCAGTTTATATTTTAATTTATAAGTTATTTCAAAATTACAGAGTTAAATACCATCCAAGTTTATTGTCAGAGGTTTTAAACAATATGAGTGGTAGATTGTATCTAACTGACTACTCGATAGAGGATGTGGTCGGGCTTTTTTTCCTCCTCTCCCGCATAAAATGTATGAATTCAGATTTGCTTCTCGTTAGAAGTTTTTCTAGTATAGTCTAGCAAATTTGTGTTGCACATCGGAGTGCTGTTGTGATTACACCAACCCATGGGGGCACCTCGTGGGCACACAGGTCAGACTTGAGGACAGGGCCTTTCTCCATCTTGACTCTAGTGTTTTCTGCCACTCACTTGGTGGGTAAAAGGACCACCCTAGGCCAGGAGTGTATAGATACATTGTTTTTGGGGCTTAGAGTGAGACTTTTCTCTAATGATCAAAGAATGAGGTAGAATATTCTTGTTGCTGCTAGGGTGAGGGAAAATTCTCTCTCATGCCACATTTTATATTGAAAAAGTCTCGTGTAGATTCAAGCTTCAATGATACTATTGTAGTAGCTAAAATATAGCTGAATTTTGCTAACTGAGAATGTGATTTTTGTTTTTCTAAAGCACTGGATTCGTTTGGAGATTTTCCCAGATGTTCTTGTTCATAGGTTAAAAATGATCGTAGATCCTGCTGACAGTAGCTACATGCCGTCCCTGGTGGTAGTGTCAGGTAATTCAGTTAGTTTACCTAAAAAGAAGTACCTTCTATAATAAAAATGCCTTTGTTTGATTCTTTACCCATTTTTTCCTAGGTGGAAATTCCCTGAATAACCTTATTGAACTAAAGACAATCAATATTAACCCTTCTGACACCACAGTGCCCCTTCTGAATGACTGCACAGAGGTAAGTAGCTGTGGTAGTGTTCCATTTGGATGATTTGCAAGTGACAAGGGAGGTGACTTGGCCATTTCTGTGCTAGCATTGAGCCCAGTTTTCCCCCCTTTAAATAATTAGTTTTATCTGTTTTAAATTTTGACACTTTAAAAGATACAACTTATTTTACACAACTTGAATTTGCTGCCTATCAAATCAACTTGAAAAGGAAACAAAATAAATTTCATTCTCACTTTATTTGGTAGCAAAGGTATGCTTGGTAAGTGCTCCTAGCAAAAGTTGTCATCAGGCATTTCAGGTTGCTGTTTGCATCTGAACACTTTGGTTTTCATGAAAAATCTCTGAGTTCCTGGTGGTTTTCCTGACCACACATGTGTTTTCATGAAAAATCTCTGAGTTCCTGGCGGTTTTCCTGACCACACGTGTGTTACGCTGAAGCTGCTTTCTTGTTGTCACACCGATTGGCATCAAGTGCTGAACTTGTCACGGAGTGGCAATTTTTTGGCAATAAGGCAACTTTCAAAATGAGTCTAAGTTTATCTCTGGAAAAGTTTGAAAGAATCAGTGGTACATCTAGTTCTAGATCCTTGAGGAATCGCCATACTGTTTTCCATAATGGTTGAACTAGTTTACAATCCCACCAACAGTGTAAAAGTGTTCCTATTTCTCCACATCCTCTCCAGCACCTGTTGTTTCCTGACTTTTTAATGATCGCCATTCTAACTGGTGTGAGATGGTATCTCATTGTGGTTTTGATTTGCATTTCTCTGATGGCCAGTGATGATGAACATTTTTTCATGTGTCTGTTGGCTGTATGAATGTCTTCTTTTGAGAAATGTCTGTTCATATCCTTTGCCCACTTTTTGATGGGGTTGTTTGTTTATATACCCAAAGGATTATAAATTATGCTGCTATAAAGACGCATGCACACGTATGTTTATTGCAGCACTATTCACAATAGCAAAGACTTGGAATCAACCCAAATGTCCATCAGTGACAGATTGGATTAAGAAAATGTGGCACATATACACCATGGAATACTATGCAGCCATAAAAAAGGATGAGTTTGTGTCCTTTGTAGGGACATGGATGCAGCTGGAAACCATCATTCTTAGCAAACTATCACAAGAACAGAAAACCAAACACCGCATGTTCTCACTCATAGGTGGGAACTGAACAATGAGATCACTTGGACTCAGGAAGGGGAACATCATACACCGGGGCCTATCATGGGGAGGGGGGAGGGGGGAGGGATTGCACTGGGAGTTATACCTGATGTAAATGACGAGTTGATGGGTGCAGCACACCAACATGGCACAAGTATACATATGTAACAAACCTGCACGTTATGCACATGTACCCTACAACTTAAAGTATAATAATAATAAATAAATTAAAAAAAAAAAAAAAAAGAATCAGTGAAGATTCTTTTAAACAGTACCCACGTACTATAGATCAGCGATTCTCTCTCTCTCAAATTTTCAGTAAATCTTTCCACATACGACGTCAGCACGATTTTAATACATTGAATATATGTAAAATAAGACAAATTAAGACAGATTTTTGTACTACCTATACCGTTGTCTTGTGTAGACTAATTAGAATGATAGCAGATAAAAATATCGAGTAGTTGATTTTTGTATTCGTTTAAAGTTTATAACAGATGAGTTTATTTTTAAATTATTAAATGCAGCTAACTTCATTCTTTAAAAAGTTTTATTTTAGTTTTAATTGACAAATAGTAATTTGTAATAATTTGTATATATTTTTGCAGAACACTGTGATGTTTTGTTACATGTATACTTTGTGGAATGATCAAATCATGCTAAATAATATGTCCATCACCTCAAATATTTATCACTTTTTTGTGGTGAGAACATTTAAAATCTTTTAGCTATTTTGAAATATGTAGTACATTCACTATAGTCACCATTTATTCTGGAATGCCATTGAACTATTTTGTAATACACTGATTCATTATAGTCAATACCAGTGGTGCTAATAAGTGAAGAAAATGGCAAATTATAAAAATGGAAGATAATATTGAATTTTTCTGAAAAAATTAATCTTGAATTTTAATGCATTTTACTGGTAACTTATTACAGTGTAACCGAATACAGCCTGTAGAGTGCCTAAGTTATGTAGTTCAGAGTATATTTTTACTTTACCAAACCAATAACTAATTAGTTAAATCAACAACTGAGATAATTCATAAAAGATATGTTTGCTTTAATTCAAGAAATTTTCAATTCAAAACAATTTATCCTGTGATATTTAGTGTATGTCATGTACATGAGAAATAGGAAGCATTGTGAGTAAATGGAAAACTCCTGACCTAACCTGCATGTCCCCAACTGACCAAAGAACTAGAACATACCATTCCTGTGGGGCCACTGAATGTTAAGCATGGCCCTTGCTGTACAAATAGTTTGTTATGGAATTTTCCTTTCTTTTTTTTGAGACTGAGTCTCACTCTGTCCCCCAGGCTGGAGTGCAGTGGCAGATCTCAGCTCTCCACAACTTCTGCCTCCCAGGTTCAAGTAATTCTCCTGCCGCAGCCTCCCAAGTAGCTGGGATTACAGGTGCCCGCCACCTCACCTGGCTAATTTTTGTATTTTTAGTAGAGATGGAGTTTTGTCATGTTGGCCAGGCTGGTGTCAAACTCCTGACCTCAGGTGATCTGCCCACCTTGGCCTCCCAAAGTGCTGGGATTTACAAGCATGAGGCACCACATCCAGCCGGGAGTTTTCTAACATGTAAACAAAAATAGAAAGTATGCTGGAACCCCCACAAACCTGTGACCCAGCTTCAACATTTATCTACATTTTGCCAGTCATGTTTCACTTCCTGCCTCCCACCTCACTTCCCTGCCTCAGCAAGATCTTATTTCAGGAGCACTGGCTTCAATATTCATCTCTAACAGGGCTTAACAAAATATAACCCTGATACCATTATCACACCTCTAATAATTACTTTTTTTTTTGAGACGATGTCTCGCTCTGTCGCCCAGGCTGGAGTGCAGTGGTGTGATCTCAGCTCACTGCAAGCTCTGCCTCCCGGGTTCACGCCATTCTCCAGCCTCAGCCTCCCGAGTAGCTGGGACTATAGGTGCCCGCCACCATGCCCGGCTAATTTTGTTTTCATATTTTTAGTAGAGATGGGGTTTCACCGTGTTAGCCAGGATAGTCTTGGTCTCCTGATCTTGTGATCAGCCCACCTCGGCCTCCCAAAGTGCTGGAGTTACAGGCGTGAGCCACCACGCCTGGCCAACAATTACTCTTTAATGTCATATAATATCCAGTCAGTGTCGAGATTTTCCTAGTTACCTTGTAAATGTCCTTTTGCAGTTGGTTTGTGTGAATCTTGATTCAGATGATGTTTGCATTCTACACTACACTTTAGCCTCTCTTGGTTTTTTCCTTGCTAAAGAAAAAAGAAACTGAGTAATTTTTTCCCGTAGCATTCTTTTTTTTTTTTTTTTTTTGAGACGGAGTCTGGCTCTGTCGCCCAGGCTGGAGTGCAGTGGCCGGATCTCTGCTCACTGCAAGCTCCGCCTCCCGGGTTTACGCCATTCTCCTGCCTCAGCCTCCCAAGTAGGACTACAGGCGCCCGCCACCTCGCCCGGCTAGTTTTTTGTATTTTTTAGTAGAGACGGGGTTTCACCGTGTTAGCCAGGATGGTCTCGATCTTCTGACCTCGTGATCCGCCCGTCTCGGCCTCCCAAAGTGCTAGGATTACAGGCTTGAGCCACCGCGCCCGGCCCCGTAGCATTCTTTATATTCTCAGCTTGGCTTTTGCATCCCTGTGGTGGTAGTCAACCTGTATTTCCTATGAAATGGTAGATCTTGAGGTTTGATCAGGTCGTTTAGGCAATAAAAAGTAATTGTTAGTGTGCACTTCCAGACACATCCCTCTTTGTTCACATGAGATACAGGGATAGAGAAATGTTGTTAATACCACAACAGGCATGCATACCAGGGGAGAAGAATGTCTGCCACGTGGGGTGTGGGACATTTGCAGGACAAATAGACCAGCTCCACTAAATGCATGGCAAAGGCAGAACGGAGGAAGGTTGCGTCTTGCTTGTGTTCTGATTTGAATGAGGCAACAATAGAATGACATGAGATAATCAGAAGAGTTTGATGACTGTAGCATATTGGATGATATGGGAATTATTGTTTGTGCTATGATAATAACAATGTGGATATGTTTTTCAAAAAACTCCTTAATTCCGGCCGGGCGCGGTGGCTCATGCCTGTAATCCCAGCAATTTGGGAGGCTGAGGCAGGTGGATCACCTGAGGTCAGAAGTTCAAGACCAGCCTGGCCAACATGGTGAAACCCTGTCTCTACTAAAAATACAAAAAATTAGCCGGGTGTGGTGGTACGCGCCTATGGTCTCAGCTACTCAGGAGGCTGAGGTTGGAGAATTGCTTGAACCCAGGAGGCAGAGGTTGCAGTGAGCCAAGATTGCACCACTGCACTCCAGTCTGGGCAACAAGTCAGATTCCATCTCAAAAAAAAAAACAAAAAGCAATAAACAGAAAACCCAAACCTCCTTAATTCATTGATATATACTGACGTTTTGAAACAACATAATGCCTAGAATTTTTAAATGATAATCCACATCTGAACAAGATTGGTCACATGTTGGTAACTGTTAAGCTGGGTCATGGAGTCATGGAGTTCTTTGTACTATTTGTTCTAATTTGTGTATATTCAAATCTGTTTTATGTTTTAAAAAGGATGAAAGGTCTGTTACTACCTGACATGTAATCTCTTCCTTAGTTAAGGCATCTTGGTTCAAGAAAGCTCTAAGAAGAGTTTGCAGTCATTCAGTAAGGCTGTCATCCTATTTAAAACTTTTAGGAAGAAAATCAGTGAGTGTCTCACGCCTCAGGTAGACATCTCGATGAGTTGATCACTTCTTTTGAAGCAAACATTACTCATATGTGGCTGCATTAACTTTGAATAACTCAGTTGGTATTTCCAGAACTGAAGTAAAGGAGCTCTAACTGTGTGTACATGTTGATGTCTCACACACCCCGCTCTCCAGTTAGAGGATCTAATATGCTTGATTCTACAAAGTCTGTAGATGATTGTTTTTGTGTCTAGTATCACAGGTATATTGAAATTGCCATAAAGCAGTGCAGGAGCTCAGGAATCGATTGTAAAATCCATGGTCTCATCCTGCTGGGACGGATCCGGGCAGAGGAGGAAGATTTGGCTGCAGTTCCTTTCTTAGCTTCAGATAACGAAGAGGAGGAGGATGAGAAAGGCAACAGCGGAAGGTGAGAGCCATTTATTACAAGTACTCACTTACCTCCGGCTGCATTCCTGGATCCTCACTTTCAAAAGGAAACGTTTAATTAGAATGTGTCTCATACTGAGTCATTTTATGTCCACAAGAATGGTAAATTACAGTTGTTTTCAAAAATTGTAATTTTTTAAAATAAAGTGTTTAATGTAGAAACACATTATATTTAGAAAAATACCATTAAAAGAGGGAAGTGAAAATGTTTAATATCTCTACCTGAAATATCACTGTTACTACTTTGGTATATACCTTTGTAGTTTTCCTTTTTTTCTGTTACTAAATATATTTTCCTATGGAAGTTGTATGATATATTTTAAAGCTCTGCTAAGTATTTTATCATTAACGTTAAAAAATATATTTATTTTGTATTATGGTGAAATATATATATTGTTTACCATTTTAAGTGTACAGTTCAGTGGCATTAAGTACATTCACATTTTTGTGCAGCCACCACTACTGTCCGTCTCTAGAATTTCCATATGATTAGTCTTCTGTCCTGTAATTGTTGAGTGCAGTATTTTGTCTTATGACTATTCTCATTTACTCACTCAATTCTTTATTTTGTGTGAGCACTGTGATGATGACTGTTCCTGTATTCATTCAACATCTTTTGAACACCTACTGTGGGCCATTCCCAGTTACGTATACTGGGAATACTGTGATGAACATGCAAAATGAAATAAGACAGATACACGCATCAGTGTGATGTTAGGGCTTTGGTAAGAGGCAGGAAGAAGTGCATGCAGCCTGGAGAGTGCATTGGAGCATTGATCTGTCAGGACAAGGAAAACTTCCCCCTAGGCCATACATACAGAAGTCAGAATTATTGAAACGAAGTGGGCAGGCAAGGGCGTTTCTGATAGGGAAGACAACATGCAAGGGGAGAAGAATGATATCTGTGAAGTTTTTGCATGCTTGTTCATTTCCCAGGGCATGTATCTAGAACTTGCATGTGCAGGGGCTGCTCTAAGCCTTGTTTACCATCCCAGCAGCAAACAGTGGATAATAACGGATAATAATAATGGAGGATAGTCAGTGTCCTCATAGAAGTTGTATTTTCCTAGACAAATTGCTGAAAGTGAAATTGCTGTCAAAGGGTATGCAAAATAAATGGGTTTGTTGTTAACATTCCCAAGGAGCTTTGGATTGCTGGTGTGACTGGGCACAGGAGGCAAGCCGCCAGTGATGGCTGAACTCTGTTGACCAAGACGCCCTGTGCTCTTAAGTACTTGGCAGCATGTGACGTAAGGAGACAACAGAGCGCTGCCCTGTGGCGTTGTTGAGCGCATTATATAGACAGAAGTGGGGGTAGCGGCTCTGGTAATAAATCAGGTTATTCCAGGACTCTGATCTTGGCTTTGGATTCTGTCCTGTTTCATTTCAGAAACTTTGTGTAGAAGTTGTAAAGAAAATAGTATCTATAACATTACCTTATCTAGAGTATATGTTATACTATATGCTATAGTTCAAACTGATTGTGTCTATAGATACTAATTAAATAGGGACAGTACCAGTTCACTTAAATAAGGAAGTCAGTGGGATTTTTAATAAAAGGATTATAGATTAGCATTTTCTTACTCAGTAGCTACTAAAATGAATTGGGCAAAATTTTTTGTATTTTTAGTAGAGACGGGGTTTCACCGTATTAGCCAGGATGGTCTCGATCTCCTGACCTCATGATGCACCCACCTTGGCCTCCCAAAGTGCTGGGATTCCAGGCGTGAGCCACCACGCCCGGCCGTAAAATTATTAGTACATGTATTGTATATGTGGAATAACCAAAAATGTTTTGAGCTTTACTTATTCATCAAATTTTTATGTAATTGAATATATTGTCAAAAGAAAAGCTAGATATTTGATTGTAATGGATATTTTTCTGGTAAGATCATATTAATTAGCCAATAACTTCAGAATGAGTCAGTGGCCCAGGCAGTCTCCTACAGGGCTGGCACCCAACTGGGATGTTCCCACATTGACCATGTACAGCTGGCCTCCACCCTGGCTGATTGATACTTACATGGTGTCAGACATTAAGTATCTTGAATATCAGTCCTGGTTTCCCATACGTACATACATACATGTGTGTATGGGAAATATATATCTATTTTGAGATAGGATCTCACTGTGTCACCAGGCTGGAGTGCAGTGATATGATCTCAGCTCACTGCAACCTCTGCCTCCCAGGTTCAAGTGATTCTCCCAGCTCAGTCTCCCAAGTAGCTGGGATTACAGGTGTGTGCTACCACACCTGGCTAATTTTTTGCATTTTTTTTTTTTTTTTGTAGAGATGGGGTTTCTCCATGTTGCCCAGGCTGGTCTCCCAACTCCTGGGCTCAAGGAATCTGCCCACCTCGGCCTCCCAAAATGCTAGGATTACAGGTTTGAGCTACCATGCCTGGCCCTCATATATATTTTTAAGTAAAAATGTGTCACAAGATACTTCAATATTTTGTGCATATGCTTGCTCACCTGTGCCTGGTATTAGATGAAAGAGTTTTTCACTTTTATTCCAAAACGTGAAATTTTGAACCCTGAAAGTAAATATTTATTAGCATATAATGTGTGAAAAAAGTGATACCTGTCTAGAAGCCAGTCTCTAGTGCCTTTGGGCATCTATCCTAGCTTATAAAAATAGAGCAAAAGCAAACAAAAAGGTGAAAACCCCAAATACAGCAGAAGCAATTTCTCAGCACTAGGCATCAGACTATCAGCCAAGAAAATCTAACACTGGCCTGTGTGCTTTTTTCAAGTTGCAAGAATTGGAGCGTTTTGGATGCTGTAGATTAAACTTCTAACCTGCTGGGTGTGGTGGCTCCTACCTGTAATACCAGCATTTTAGGAGGCTGAGCAGGGAGGATCACTTGAGCCCAGGAGTTCAATAGCAGCCTTGACGATATAGTCTCTACAAAAAATGCAAAAATTAGTTGGGCATGGTGGTGCATGCCTGTAGTCCCAGCTATTCGGGAGGCTGAGGTGGAAGGATTGCTTGAGCCTGGGAGGTTGAAGCTACAGTGAACTGGGATTATGCCACTGCATTCCAGCCTGAGTGACAGAGCATGACCCTGTCTCAAAACAAACAAAAAATAAATAAACTCCTAACCTGTCGAGGGCAGGTCAGGAAGTAGATGAGCAAGGTGGAAGGAGCAAGTTCCTCTGGGAAGGAAAGGAGACGAGGACTTTCAGCCCAGCTGGCCGATGATCAGGTGCTTCTGGCTGGTGTCCTGGGCAGAGGGTATAAAGGAAGAGAGAAGCATTAGGACATGTGTCTGTATTAAAGTGCCTCCATGGTCATGTGGCCACATACTGTTTTATTCTTTCTGTGGGAAAATAATTGGCCAAACTGATGTCTAGATTTAGGGACACTGCTGCAAGGCCAGGCCCAGCGTGGCTCCTGGGGAGGTTTCCTGTGTCTCTGCAGTGCCGTTTGTGGTAGCTGCGCATCTGTTTCCATGGCTTGCAATGATTCCCACATGTTCAAGTTGGTATTTAAGATGAAAGAGAATGTAGTGTATCATCGTTTTCCATCAAAAATAAGAGCTGAAATTAAGTGCTGGTATTAACAGGTAGCATGGTGGTATCTAGAAAATTTGACCCTCCAGAGCAACTTACTCCTGTACATGCTTGAGGTTGTATTCTATTAAAGCAAAATTTTAAGAGTTTCTGAAAGTAACCATAAAATTTTGAGTGCTTGAGGTTGCTTTTATTTTTATTTTTTAAATGTTTTATGCTGAATAACCTCTATTTCTTTCTTTTCTTTTCTTTTCTTTTTTTTTTTTTGTTTGGTTAGCCTCATTAGAAAGAAGGCTGCTGGGCTGGAATCGGCAGCTACGATAAGAACCAAAGTGTTTGTGTGGGGTCTGAATGACAAGGACCAGCTGGGCGGGCTGAAAGGCTCCAAGGTACGGCCTGCTCCCTGGGACCCAGCAGGGCGGGGCACTCGGCAGCAGCCACACCTCGTGAAGTTTTTATAATAACTTTACGCTCTATGTGTTGTACTGTTTCTTTACACGAACTAAAAGACATTATCAAATTACCTCTCAGAAGCGTCTCTCCTTGGAAAATTTCACTTTAGATATAATTGTTTTATTGCAGTCTTATAAACTAGAACATAAACTTTTGAAAAGATTTCATAAGTGCATAGACGAAAATTACAGACCATCGATAGATGTATCTTGCCTCCCCTACAGTAAACGCTTTTGACTATCATGAACGAAATAATGTGTAAAAAAGCCGTAGTGGCACACAGATGAGCAAGTTGTGGTCTCTGTCCTCCAGGTGCTTCGTGCCTGAGATTCTTCAGGGTAAAGTAGCTTGCACAGAGAGAGAAGGCTTTGTGAGCACAGAGAAACAAGCAGAATGCACATGTGTGCGCACACACACTTGTAGCTTGCACGGAGAGAGAAGGCTTTGTGAGCACAGAGAAACAAGCAGAATGCACATGTGCGCACACACACACACACACACACACAGTTGACTTACTCTTTGCGGGGCTTGTTGTGGGTGGAGAGCGCCATGATCTCATTTACCTTGTCAGTAAACCATGAAGCACGCACGGGAAGCCGTGCCACAGCCTCTGTGTTCACAACATCCTTCATCCCCTAGGTACTGGGATGAAAGGTTAATTTGTATTTTGAATTGCTTAGAAGAAAAAGACCATATTTTGAAAAGAATAGGTGTAAGAAATGATGATTTCAAACTGGAGTTGAATTTGGCGTTCCTTATATTACTTAGTGTCTCCTGGCTGAGGAGCCACAAAGCAAATTCCTCTAAATTTTATTGTCCAGAGGCACTCTCTGTGTTCACATGAACTTAGGCTTCCTGTTAGTATTCTGTGAGATATCACATCGTACATTTTCCTTATTGCCTGCCCTGTTGAGAAGCTGAGAAATTAAGTTAGAACTCATTCATTTGAACTCTTTCCTTTCAAGGTGCAATAATTTTTATCTGTATTGGAGCAGCCTTGAATTGCATTTGTGTTTCAATGCCCCTGAGCTTGGTTTGGGAAGCGGATAGTGGGCGGTGAGCTGTGGGTGTCTCAGCTGTGGGAGTGCAGGGCTGTCCAGGTCCCTGAGGTGCAGGCCATTGGTGGGAGCCTATGACCTTGCTCACTGCCCTACATGGAGTTTTCACTTCAAGGATGGAGTCATCTTTCCATGGTTGTGATGAAAATCCTTTCTTCCGCTGCAGTAGTGACTGTTTCACCCATGGAATCATAAAGGGTTTTTTAGACAAAGGGCCCTAGGAATTTTAAATTAAATTACATCAATCTACAATGGGAAATTTAAGTATATAATTTCTTAGAGATGTCAGAGTCAGAATCAGAGAATGAGCAGGACATGACTTGAAATAAGGTATAGTCTACAGGTGTGTGTGTTTATCTTTACATTATATGCATAGTCATTCCTCAGTATCCATGGGGGATTTGTTCCGGGACTTCCTGTGGATACCAAGATCTGTGGATGCTCAAGTCCCTGATATAAAACAGTGTAGTGTTTGCATATAACCTATGCACCCCCTCCCAAATACTGTATATCATCTTCAGATTACTCAGAATACCTAATACAGTGTAAATGGTATGTCAATAGTTGTTATATTACATTGTTAAGGGAATAATGGCAACAAAAATATCTGTACATATTTAGTATAGGTACAATAAAAAATCTTTTCAATCCATGGGTGGTTGAATTCATGGATATGGAACCTATGGATACAGAGGACCAACTGTGTTTTATTTTTTACCTTCTATTATGGAAATGTTCAGATGTACCCAAATAGAGTGAATAGCATCACGAACCCTTATGTCCCTGGTACCAGCTTCCATAGTTACCAGCAGCTGTCTACGTTTTTCTGTCTCTGTCCTCTCATTCCCCCAACTCTGGTTTAAAGGAAATCACAGTGTATCATTTCATTTTTAAAATACTCTAGTGTGAATCTCTAAGGGATAACCAATGCCTTTGGTTAATGTAACCATACATAGTAGTAGCACAGTCATGCGTTACTTAATGATGGGGATACATTCTGAGAAAGTTTTGGTAGAGTGATTTTGTCATTGTTGAAAAATGATAGAGTGTACTTAACACAAACGTAGATGGTGTAGCTTACTACACACTCAAGCTATATGGTATAGCCTATTGCTCCTCCTACTACAGTTACAACATGTAACTGTACTGAATATGGTAGGCAGTTGTAACTCAATGGCATTTGTGTATTTAAACATAGAAAAGGTACAGTAAAAATACAGTGTAAAAGATTAAACATGGAACACCTGCATAGGGTACTTACCATGAATAATGGAGTTTGCAGGACTGGAAGTAGCTCTGGGTGAGTCAGTGCACATTACTGTAGACTTTAGAAGCACTATGTGCTTTAGACTACTCTATAAAAAATATTTTTCTTTCTTTAATAATAAATTATTTGTAACTTTACCTTTACTTTTGAACTTTTCACTTTTTAAAAAACTTTTTGACTCTTATGATAATAGTTAGCTGAAAACACAAACACAGCTCTGTACAAAATGTTTTCTTTACATTCTTCTTTTGCTTTTTAAACTTTTTGGTTAAAAACTGAGACTCAAACGCATACATTAGCCTAGCTAGGATCATAGTGTTACTTCTCTTTCACCCCCACGAAGGAGCTAGCTGTTCTTTCCTGTGACGGCCGTGCCTTCTGGAATCCCTCCTGAAGCACCAGCCATAGGCTGTTTTACAGTCGGCTTAAAAAAAAAAAAAAGTAGAAGGAATACACCCTAAAAGAATGATAGAAAGTATTGCATAGTGAATATATAGGCCAGTAGCAGTTGTCTGTTATCATTATGAGGTATTAGGGATTGTTGATATGTAGCTGGCAGCACAGAGGCTTGTTGACACAGCATCACCACAGACACATGAGGAATTGGTTGGACTGTGATATTGTCATGGCCAGGACACCACTAGGCAGTAAAGATTTTTCAGCTCCATTATGATCTACTGGGACTGTCATCGTATATGTAGCCTGTGGTTGAGTGAAATGTTATGCAGTGCATGACTGTAATTCCTTGTATCATATAATAAGGTAACATAATTTTAAACATGCAAGTAAAATTTTTTTTTTTCTTAAAATAATTCTGTTCTAGATAAAGGTTCCTTCATTCTCTGAGACACTGTCTGCTTTGAATGTGGTACAGGTGGCTGGTGGTTCTAAAAGTTTGTTTGCAGGTATGATTATTCTGATATTTAAAAATTTTTAAATTATGCTTGGCACCAAAAACCAGAAAAGTTTTTAATGTTGTGAAAAGTGAGTCCTCTCCTGGCTGTCGTTCCTTGCAGTGACTGTGGAAGGGAAGGTGTACGCCTGTGGAGAAGCCACGAATGGCCGACTGGGGCTGGGCATTTCCAGCGGGACGGTGCCCATCCCACGGCAGATCACAGCTCTCAGCAGCTACGTGGTGAAGAAGGTGGCTGTTCACTCAGGTACAAACCAAGCACCAGCAGGCCTGTGTGGATCAGCCTGTTGCTCTTGCTCCGTTGTTAACCAAAGCCCTAATTGGTGTCCTTACGTTCTTTCTTAAGTTTTTACTTAGTAGGAATAAAAATTGGATAATGAAAATCTCTAGGTGGTCTAGAATTTAGTTATTGCTGCCAAATCAAGTTCTTTGCCTGAAAGCAGGCTGTTTTTCTGGAAGAGTCTATAACTTTCTTCAGATTCCCAAAAGTATCTATGAACCCAAGTAATGAGAAAGATCCTTTAAACAAAACCAGACCACTCCTTCAGTGTAGGGAGTGTTTATTTTGGAAGCACTGTGCTAGGCCTCTGAGGAACGGAACTGAATTAGACACAAAGTTCTAATTCAGTTCATGCCTATGCTGAACGGGGCTCAGTGTCACCCGCATAACAGGAAATCCAAATGATAGTGGCTTAAGCAATGCAGAGTTTTACTTTTCTCCTTGTAAAAGTCCAGAGGTGGGGTCAGAGTCCATCCAGCAGGGCTGTGTCTATGAGGAGTGCTGGTCCTTTGTGTCCCCCTTTGTGGGAAGATGGTCTTAGACTAGCTCTGGCCCCCAGAGTCCAGGGCCAGGCCTGGCAGAAGAGGCAGGCACCACACAGTGTGCCCTCCCGCCCATGCAGCCCTCTCTCCAGAGCCCCTCTGAAGCCCCACTCGTTTCACTCACCATCTCCTGCGGGTAGAGGAGGCTGGGAAGTGGTGTTTAGCTGAGCACCTTAACATGGGGGTTCTGTTGGTAAGGAATGGGGAGAATGAGCGTTGGGGGATTACAAGCCTGGTCTGCTGTGATGTTCTCAAAGCCCAGGAGTTGGCAGGAACTCACTGTGTAGGAGTGGTCATGCCTTTAATCCTGAGGCAGGTTGTATGGACTTTGAGAATATTCCATGCTGGGGAAAGAGCATCAACTGGCGTGTTTTGGGAAGAGTGAGTATAATGCTAATGCAAATGACTGAATAATTTCACTGTTGAGGTACAGTTCTCAAAAGCTTAAATTGACACTATTTTTACATTTTGTCTAATCACAAATTATTTTTACTTTTTTCATCTAAATTTTGATTTTTCATGTATTTAACATAATAGGAACCCTATTAATAATCAGTATTATTTTGTCTCTTTGCAAATTCTTTCTAGAGTTAAATTTGTAGTTTAGTAAAAATTCACTTATTTGACACATATGTCCCAGAAAGCTTTGCTGCTAACTCCGCTGTTGATCCTGTGAGTTACTCATTTATTCAGCTCACACTCATTGAGTGTGTGCTACATGCCAGGCAAAATAGGGAGCTGTGCTGTGGGCTCTCTGTACCCTGCCCTTTGGCAATCCGCACATCTGTGCATGTTGCAGGTGGCCGGCACGCGACGGCTTTAACTGTCGATGGAAAAGTGTTTTCGTGGGGCGAAGGTGACGACGGAAAACTTGGACATTTCAGCAGAATGTAAGGGTACTTTCTTTAGTCTCATTTGCTAATAAGAAACTGTTATGGATACTCTTGAAAGTTATTTTGCAGAAAATTGGAATAGATTATGGAAATGGATCTTAAACCATTTTTTTTTAACATGGTTGTTTGTGTTTTGGTCTCATCGGTTCTGCTTAAGGTTTGGTAGTTGATCTGTGGATCTTGTGTTGACTACATGTGGATCAGTATAGATGTCTTTTTTCCTTCGTCTCTAAGAAGGGACAGATTGACTGTAGGGAACTGATTTCTTCTTGTAGGAACTGTGACAAGCCAAGGCTGATCGAGGCCCTGAAAACCAAGCGAATCCGAGATATCGCCTGTGGGAGCTCGCACAGCGCGGCCCTCACATCCAGCGGAGAACTGTACACCTGGGGCCTCGGCGAGTACGGCCGGCTGGGACATGGGGATAATACGACCCAGCTAAAGCCCAAAATGGTGATTATACGCATTTTTGTTGCTTACAGAAAGCTTACCATCTGAAGATTTCAAGAGAAACTAAACTTCGAGTCTAGGAAAGTTCATAAAGATGTGTGCATGGTTGGCTTTGTCTTTGGGAAATTCCCTTGCTTTCTCCGTGCCTGTGCTTGACTCTGTTTTTAAATTTGTAATTGAGTAGGTGAAAGTCCTTCTTGGTCACAGAGTAATCCAGGTTGCCTGTGGGAGTAGGGACGCACAGACCCTGGCTCTGACCGACGAAGGTGAGTGCCTGGCATGATTCTGTGCTCCTGGGTGGGTAAGAATGATATGAAACGTTGGCCTGAAGTATATGTATATTCTTAAACCTAGGTTTGGTATTTTCCTGGGGTGATGGTGACTTTGGAAAATTGGGCCGGGGCGGAAGTGAAGGCTGTAACATTCCGCAGAACATTGAGAGACTGAATGGACAGGGGGTGTGCCAGATTGAGTGTGGAGCTCAGTTCTCCCTGGCGCTCACCAAGTCTGGAGTGGTGTGGACATGGTACGTAAACATCCTCCCTGTCACAGTGTGCGTGCTTGTGCAGGTGCGTGTGGGGAACGTGGGCCTCACACCAGGCCCACCCCGGCATGATTGTGACCTGTCAGATTCTTACTTATACAGGCGTCTTTGTCCTTTAAAGGATATTGAGTTGGGATTAGTGACAATAGTACAAGAAGAAAGTTCCCATTGTAACTGGGTCATTTTGAAAATACTAGAAAAATTTTAGGCCACTTACCTTTCCTGTTTGGGTGAGATTTATAGGAAAGATTTCTTCTGCTGAAGCCTGAGGATAAAATGAGAGCAAAATAACCTTCTGAATCCTTTGATCCTGAAAAAGTTAACATGTGTTTCTTGTAAAAGCTTATTTTATTAATGTGCAAAAGAGCAGGTGCCCAGACTGGCCTTGAATGGTGTGTCAGGCCTTAGTGCCAGTGTCATGACCAGAGACAGCTTGAGAAAGGTATATACCAGATAGTACTTTGGATAAGTGTTTGCAGTAGTGTGTCTTATTTTCAGTCTCTTTATATGAAAACTTAAAACAGTAACTTAAATATCGTAAAACATGTATTAAAGTATTAAGGTTTTGCCAGCTGACTTAATAAGTTAATTTGAATTAATGGTGTATGATTTTGAATGTAAGTTCAAAGACCCTGAGTGCCGTGTGTGATGTCATTGAGCTGGCTGTGAAAGATGTGAGACTGAGCATTTTCCTGTGTAGCATTGTCAGACCATAACGTATTGTAACACTCCACCATTGGCCTTCTCCCAGGGGAAAGGGGGATTACTTCAGGTTGGGCCATGGCTCTGACGTGCACGTGCGGAAACCGCAGGTGGTGGAAGGGCTGAGAGGGAAGAAGATCGTGCATGTGGCCGTCGGGGCCCTGCACTGCCTGGCGGTCACGGACTCGGGGCAGGTAAGGCTGCAGGTGGCCTGGGGGTGGCGTGCCATCCTGACTTGGGGGACTTGGGGGTCACGACATGGTGCTCGTCCTGTTGAAATCGCAGCTGTTGATGAAATCAGCCGAGTCTTACTGCTTGAAGAACCATGAGGGCAGGACGCGTCCCTTTTGCTCACTGGTGTATCTGCCTGCTCGGCTGCAGGGGTTGGGGGGCGGGGTCCTCAGAAAAGACATGTTCCCATTCTGAAGTCTGCATGAAAAGTGTGTGGAAAGATTGTTATTCTTGAAGATGCTCGTACTGCAAGGTATTAGCAAGACTTTCCTTTAGAGAATTGCTAACTGGCGAGGAGGCATCCATGCCTCATTTTAGAGACAGAGCTACTGCCTGACAAGTGTTACTGTCTCGTCTGCTTGTGGGAGCATATGCTATGACTGGCTTGTGGATATTCAATTTTAAATTTTATTTATGAAAGCAAAATTACCATTACTGTTTTTCAGTCAAAATGAATTATACTTTATAATTCTACAAGGCCAAGAAGCAACTTACTTGAAAAATGAGCATATTGTTTTTGGTCATTTTTCTTTGCAAAATAAAAGGGAAAAAAATTACTGCACTTAGTTGAACAGAGGACCTTCTGTGTGTCTTGCAACAAAGCAGAATTGGATTAATATTAAGAAAATACTCCTTTTATAGGTATCATCAAGCGTTTTCATGGTTAGATTTTCTTCAGAATTGTCGTACACTGATGCCATTTCGTAAGATTGTGAAATGGTTTGTTTTCACCTTTAAGAACTCAATTCTTTCAACTACCGTGGCATACACGTTAAGCATTTTGAAGTAAAAATTACATTAAAGAAAATGTCCTGAAATGTTGAAAAATTATAAGCATTTTCCCCCCTCGTAAACAGGTGTATGCTTGGGGTGACAATGACCACGGCCAGCAGGGCAATGGCACGACCACGGTTAACAGGAAGCCCACACTCGTGCAAGGCTTAGAAGGCCAGAAGATCACGCGTGTGGCTTGCGGGTCGTCCCACAGTGTGGCGTGGACAACCGTGGATGTGGCCACGCCCTCTGTCCACGAGCCCGTCCTCTTCCAGACTGCGAGAGACCCTTTAGGTGCTTCCTATTTAGGTAACACAGATTTGTGTCTTCTCTGAGATTTTTCTGTAGATTACAGCAACCTTACAGATTTATTTAATTGTGCCAACACATTAGAGGTTGTAGTGCTGTGTTAACTGCATTATGAATCTAAAGACACAGAAGAATTAGGGTGTGCTCTCATGCGATTTATCCATGCTGGAATGAAAATTGTAGAAGAAAGTATGTTGCTGATTCTTGTGTTTATGATCAGGTAAACTCACAGCGCTGTACTTGTGTGTAAACAGGACTCCTAATAACTGCCTGAGAGATACAGGCACTGTAGTAGGCTCTTTTGTATTTTTTAACAGCTTTATTCAGTTATTATTGACATATAATAAACTGCATCTATTTTAAGTATACATTTTGATCAACTTTGAAATATATGTGATCCATGAAAGCATCACCACAATCAAAGATAATGAACTCATACACTACTCTAGTGTTTCTCTCTGGCCCTTTGTACCCATCTCCCTTTTGCTTTTAACTCCCCTCCTCCCTCCTGCCATATGCACCTACTTAATTTCTGTCACTATAGATCAGTTTACATGTTTTCTTTTTGTTGTTGTTTGGTTGGGTTTTTGTTTATTTGTTTGTTTGTAGACAGGGTCTCACTCTGTCGCCTAGGCTGGAGTGCAGTGGCATGATCTTGGCTCACTGCAGCTCCCACCTCAGCCTCCTGAATAGCTGGGACTACAAGCACATGTCACCATACCAGGCTAATTTTTGTTTGTTTGTTTGGTGGAGACAGGGTTTTGCCATGTTGCTCAGGTTGGTCTTGAACCCCTGAGCTCAAGTGATCCTCCCACCTCGGCCTCCCAAAGTGCTGGGATTATAGGCAGGAGCCACTGTGGCAGGCCAGTTTGCATGTTTTACAGCTTACTATAAATGGAATCATACAGCATGTACTCTTTTTACAAATCTTACTTTTTCCACTCAGCATAATAATTTTGAGATTCACTTATGTTGCATGTATCAGTAGTTTATTCTTTTTAAATTGTTGAATAGCATCTTAAGATAAACAAATGCAATTTGCTGTTGGTGAATGTTTGGGCTATTTCCAGTTTTTGACTGTACAAGTGAAATTGCTAATGGACATTTCCATACAAGTTTGTGTATGGACATCCACTTGAAATTCTCTTGGGTAAACTCCTAGGAGAAGAGTGGTTGATCATATGGTAGGTGTATGTCTAGCTTCTTAAGATCGCTACATACTGTTTTGCAAAGTGGATGTTCCAGAGGCCCACATCCTCCACATTTTTGTCAACCCTTGATATGTTCAGTCTTTTAGTTGTACTGATAGATGTATGGTGGTATCTCATTGTGGTTTTAATTTGTATTTCCCTAGTAACTAATGATCTCAAGCATCTTGTTTATTTATGAATTAGATACCTTTTTTGGTCAATGTCCGTTCAAGTCTTTTCCCATATTTAAGTAGGTTGATTGTTTTCTTACTGAGTTTGAGAGTTCCTTATATATTCTGGGTTACAAGTCCTTTGCCTGATATATAAGTTGCTAATATTTTCTGTCAATGTGACTTGTCATTTTATTCTCTTCATAGGTGAATCTTAAAGATTAGAAGTTTTTAATTTTGATGAAGCCTAGTTTATTCATTTTATTCTTTTGTAGAGCATACTTTTGATGTTGTGTCTACAAAACCTTTGCCTCACTCGAGATTATAAAGATTCTCTTTCTGTGTTCTGTTATAGAAGTTTTATAGTTTTAGATATGTGTATCTATGACCAGTTGATTAAATTTTGTGTATGGTGGGAGGTTCAGATTGAAAGGCTTTTTCTGGCTTGATTGTCCAGTAGTTTCAGTTGTATTTGTTGAAAAACTTTGCTTTTCCTACTGAATTGCCTTTTGCCTTTGTCAGAAATCAGTTGTCTATGGATGTATGGATCTATTTCTGAATTCTCAGTACTGTTTTTATTTGTGGATTTTGGTGGCAATGCCACATTGTCTTGATTACTACAGCTTTATAAAATACCTGAACTCAAGTTGCAACAGTTCTTTCGCTTTGTTCTTTTTCAAATATATTTTGGCTGTTGTAGTCCCTTTACATTTCCATATAACTTAAAATGAGCTTGTCATTTTTTTTTTTTTTTTTTTTGAGATGGAGTCTCATTCTGTCGCCCAGGCTGGAGTGCAGTGGCGCAATCTTGGCTCACTGCAGCCTCCGCCTCCCAGGTTCACACCATTCTCCTGCCTCAGCGTCCAGTGTAGCTGGGACTAAAGGCGCCGCCACCGCGCCCGGCTAATTTTTTGTATTTTTAGTAGAGATGGGGTTTCACCATGTTAGCCAGGATGACCTCGTGATCCACCCACCTCGGCCTCCCAAAGTGCTGGGATTACAGGCGTGAGCCACCGCACCCGGCCGAGCTTGTCGGTTTTTATAAAACCGCTTGCTTGGGGTTTTGCTGTGAATCGCATTCATTCTGTAAGTCAGTGTGGAAAGGATGGATTCACAGTATTCAGTCTTCTAACCTATGAACACAGTGTTTCTCTTTATTTGTTAGGTGTTTAGTTTCTCTCAGCAATGTTTTCTAGTCCCAATGTTGTATAGGTCCTGCATATCTTTTGTTAGATTATCTCTAAGAATTTCAGATTATTAAATGGTCTTTTAAAAATATCATTTTTTTCTATTGTATGGGAATATTCACATTGCTCCCTGCTAGCATGTAGAAATAAATATAATTGCTTTTTTTTTTTTTTAAGTGAACCTCATCTTGTCATACAAATATTTTGTTTTTTTCCCTTATCTCTCAGGAGGGACATTTCTCTAGCTGGAAATGTCTAGAGGACACATCTCTCTAGCAGCATCTGCTTTGGTGAATAACTGGAATGTGATCTTCTGGCTGTGTTAGTTACTGACTGTATGAACTGAGGCGAGTGACTTCGCCTTCCTGTGCTGTCTTCTCTTCTGGGGTAGATGAAGATAAAGCTTGACTCTCGTTGTCTCCTTTCTGGTTCAAATTAGTGTCTTCTTAACATATAGCTCTTTTCATGTCACATTATTTGTATAACTTTTGAGTTTGGCTTTTTCCACTCAGCCTAATCCTCTGGAGATTCATCCACGTTGTTACATATTACATAGTTTGTTCAGTATTCCATCAAATACTCAACCATTGAAGGACGTTTGAATTATTTCTAGGTTTTGGCTAATACAAATAAAACTGCCATGTCATTCATATACAGGTGGATGTGAAAATTCACTTTATGTCAAAAATAAGTTCTTATTTCTTTGACATAAATGCCCAAAAGTGTGATTGCTGGTCATATGGTAATTATGTTTAGTTTGATAAGAAACTGCCAAACTGTTTTCTGGAATGGCTGTACCATTTTATAATCTCATTAGCAGCGGAGGATGATCCAGTTTTTCCCATATCCTCACCATCTTTTTAAAATGTAGCCATACTGGTAGATAGGTCATTGTATCTCATTGTGATTTGAATTTATATTTTCCTCATGGCTAATTATATAAAACATCTTTTCATGTGCTTGTTTACTGTCCGTATCTCCTCTTTGGTAAAATATGTCTTCATGCCCTTTTCTAATTGGCTTTTTTTTTCTGTTGAGTTTAGAGAGTTCATTATATATTCTAGATATTTCTAGTCCTTTGGCAGATGTGTGTTATGCAAATGTTTTCTCCTGGTCTCTAGCTTGTCTTTTCATTTCCTTTCATAAAACAAAAGTGTTTAATTTAGATGAAGTCTAATTCATCAGTTTTTTCTTTTGTAGGTCATACTTTTGGTGTCGTCTATTTTTGCCTAGTGCTAGATCCTAAAGACCGTCTCCTATTTTTTTCTAAAAGATTTATAGTTTTGTATTTTCTACTTAAGTCATGATCCATTTGGATTTAATTTTGCATAAGGTGTAGACTTAGGCTGAAGTTTGGGTTTTTTGCCCACAGACGTCCAGTTGCTCCACCACCACGTGCTGAAAGGCTGTCCTGCCTCCGCCGAGTCGCTTTTGCATATTTGTCAACAGTCAGTGAGGCGTATTTGTGTGGTTCTGTTTCTGGGTTCGCTGTTTATTCCGTAGATTCTTATGCCAGTACCACACAGTTTTGGTTATGGTATTACAACAACTTTTGAGATTGGGTAGACTCGTTCCTCCTCCTTATTTTTCTGTTTCTATTCTTGTTCCTTTGCCTTTCCATATACATTTTAGAATAATGTTGACAAAAACTCTTGTGGGAATTCTGGTAGGAATTGCATTAACTCTGTGTATCAATTTGGATGAGTTCACATAGACACATGTCCCAGCTCCACCTGGCTCCCTCCCCCTGCGGAGACCTGGGAGTTTGCAGGGAAGTGAACCTGATGAGACTTTATTGGTGAATATCTTCTCTCTTTATTGTTTTGTATTCTTTTTTGTCTTGCCTTACTAGGCTAAGAAAACACAGGTAGTAATTGTAGCATTTTCATAGCTTATATGTATATAACATAAACGTTTGTAAGTGCATTTTGTACAAGCATCTACATCTTTTTACAGTTACAGTGAAATTTTGCTGAAAATAGCTTCTTTATCAAAGTATGGATGAGTGGTGTTCTTATTCTGAAGGCCTGTGAATGAGCCTAATAGGTGCTCTGTGAAATAGCAAAATGCAGATTGCAGTGTGTTTTGGAACTAACCTATAAGGTCAGATTTTACAGAAATAGAGGAAACTGTGATCTTAAAAACAAAATGCACATTTTATTTTTCCCTTATAGGCGTGCCTTCAGATGCCGATTCTTCTGCTGCCAGTAATAAAATAAGTGGTGCAAGTAATTCTAAGCCGAATCGCCCTTCTCTTGCCAAGATTCTCTTGTCACTGGATGGAAATCTGGCCAAACAGCAGGCCTTATCGCATATTCTCACAGCGCTGCAAATCATGTACGCCAGGTAGGTGCTCGTTTTTGAAATTCTGCAATTATGTGATTTTTTTTCTTTTAGTTGATCAGATGTCTCCAAGAATGTCGTATTATTGTCTTTAAATGCTGTGTGTTGTAAGTCGCATGTTCTTTGATGGTAATTGATCATATCTTTGTGTGTGTTTTAATGGGCATTGAAATATGAATTCGAAAACTAACTTGAACATTTTCACTATTCTTTTTGACCAGTAGACTCTAACAATTAATATTTGGGGGAAGAAAAGAAGAATTAGGTGATACTAATTTATAGTGATGTCTAAGACGACTTAGCATCCCCTTCGCTCACGTGAGAAGGCTGAGTTTTGCCAATGCGGCATTTTGCAGTATTTTTCTGCTGCTTTTCCACAGCCTAGATAAGTTGCCAATCTACTAATGTATCACACCTATGGACCTGACGGGTGTATTTACATAGGAAAATTAGTTTCAGAACAAAAACAGTCATTCAGTAGAGGCCATTGAGTCCTAGCTGCCCAGTATGTGGCTTTCAGTAAACACAAAATTGCCTCGTGGTCAATTATCCAGCCCTCAGGCTCTCACAGCAGCCCAAGAGGATTTCTCAGGGAGAGCCAGAGTCTCATTCTGGTCCGGTTTTTGTGTTTGGCAGTTTTTCACCTGCTATTACTCTGGTTTTTCAAATAAATAAAATCCAGAGTAAACATTTTAGCTATTAGCCCAAGGATACAGGTAATAATGTTTGGTTTCCAAAACTCTTTTACATGTATTCAATAAAAATGAGGAAATACCTCAGTATGCGTGCTAGTCCTGCCTCGCCACTTCCTGTGGTGCTGTGGAGAAGGGGCAGCTCACCACAGGCCGGGCTTTGTGTCCTGACAGAGATGCCGTTGTCGGGGCCCTGATGCCAGCTGCCATGATTGCCCCGGTGGAGTGCCCCTCGTTCTCCTCCGCGGCCCCTTCCGACGCGTCTGCCATGGCTAGTCCCATGAATGGAGAAGAATGCATGCTGGCGGTTGATATGGAAGACAGGCTGAGTCCAAATCCATGGCAAGAAAAGAGAGAGGTAAAAGCAACCTTAGATCAGAAGGTAAAAGGTGGCTACTTTGTGTCTAGGAAAGTCTCATTCTGTCATTTAGTTTAGGCTGTTTCTGTGCCTCTCGCTTTGATTTTTGGCGTTACTTAGAAGAATATTCTCTGTAAAGGAGCTTTTAAAGTGCTTAAGTGGAATTAGATTTCTTTTTTTAAAAAATCTAATTCAAAAAATGTTTTTTAAAAAAATAAAAAAAAAAAATCTAATTCAAAAAATCATTAAGTGCAAGTTCACAGTCCTTTATCTGCAATTCTGAAACCTTAAAGTTCTGATGGTCAAGAATTTTAGTGACTTATTTTGGGGGAAAAAACCAACTTGAAGATAACGTGAACTCATTTTAGTCTGGTTCGTGGACCTGCTGTGAATGTTAATAGTTTTTCTTGAAACTATGAGTGTACTTGACTTTGCACAACTGTCCTAGGCCCAGCCGGGGGTGGTAGTGGCTATGTCAGGTAGGCAGCATGTTACCTCTGTAAACTCTGGAACATTCTAAACAGCCCAAGTAGTTTTAGATAAAACATTTGGGACTTGCGTAGGAAATATGTTATGTTGTTGAGTTTTTCCCCTTACGTCGCCTACTGTGCACTCTTCGACTAGATTGCTTCCTCTGAGGACGCGGTGACCCCCTCTGCAGTGACTCCATCGGCCCCCTCAGCCTCCGCCCGGCCGTTTATCCCAGTGACGGATGACCTGGGAGCCGCAAGCATCATTGCAGAAACCATGACCAAAACCAAAGAGGTGAAGAGGCATTCTTCTTCAACTTTGTATTGTGGAATAATCTTAAATGTACACAGAAGTAGGAATAGTACTTAGGAGTGGAACACAGTTGATTCCTATCCCATTCACCTGGGCTTTCCACTTGTTAGCATCTTTGAAGCATTTGTGGGAATGTTGCAGGACACAGTCCCTGTCACTGCTTACTGCTTCCACGTATATTCCTTGAGTGTCAGGACTACAGCTTGATGCAGGATTACTTTCAAACCCAGACATATTTGGATTTTGCTCATCATCCCAATAGTATCCTTATAGGTCTAGCACCCAACCTAGGATTGCACACTGCCTCTTTAGTCTTCAGTGTGGAACAGTCCTTCGTTTTGACAGACACCACAGGAGTGGTGCAGAATTCTTCTCAGTGCCTCTCCTGGGACTCAGGTGTTGCTGATTTGCTGCATCATTGGTGAGATAGCTTATCACTTGGTTAAGAGTCTCTGCCAAGTTTCTCCACTGGAAATCAGTAAGTGTGTTTAGTACTCATGGGGAGACACTTTTGAGATTATGTCAATGTCTTGTTCCTCATTATACTTTTACCTCCCAGTTTTTAGCATCTTAAAGATTCTAGCTGAATCCATTATTACTGTGGTGGTTGTCACATTTTCATTTTTCACATTTATTGTTACTTCTGGTTGTAATTGTTGCCATTCTTTTGCAAGAGAAGGCTTTCCCGTCTCATCCGTCTGTCTTCTACCTACCTACCTTTCTGTCTGTCTGTTTATATTGTGTAGATTCGGGAGTTCCTGTTTTAGTCAAATAGTGACATTTGTTACTCTCATTATTTGACACCCAAATTGTCCCAGACTTGGTCATTGGGACTCCCGTGGACTGGTCATTGGGACTCCTGTGGACTGGTCATTGGGACCTGGTTATTGGGACTCGCGTGGACTGGTCATTGGGAACCCTGTGGACTGGTTCCATTGTCTGATGTGTCCCCATAATTCTTAGGGGTCTTCCTTCATTTCTGGCACAACAGTGTGCTCGAGACTCATCTTTCACCTACCCTGCCCCTGCCTGGAATCAGCCATTTCTCCAAGAAGCCATGGTTTCTGCTAGTGACTTGTAGGATTTGGAAACCAAGATCTGGGTGCTTGCTAAGCTGATTGTTACTGAGTGTTGTTGGTTAGGCCCGCTCAGCAAACAGATCTATACACACGAGCATTTATTTATCCTTCTGCATTTATCTATATAATAAAAACCATTAACAGCCCAAATCAATACTTTTAATTCCAGTCCAGTACCACAGGGCTTATTCCTACTCTCCCTCTTTCCATATTTTTTTGGCGTATAATGCTTTTATATGTTGCTAGATTTGGTTTGCTGCTATTTTGTTGAAGATTTTTGCATCTGTATTCATAAGGGATACGGCTCTGTAGTTTTCTTGTGATGTCTTTGCTTTGGGTATTATGGCAATATTGGCTTCATAGATTGGAGGGTGTTCCTTTCTCTCCTGTTTTTTGGAGGAGTTGGTGAAGGACTGGGGTTAATTCTGTAAGTAGTTGGTAGAATTGTATCTGCTCTTCTGGCATATTCCTGTCATTCTTTGAGTATTTCCTTTTTGGCACAACACAAAATTCCAGGCTCAACAAGATGTTTTAGGCTCCAACATAGGAATCAGTTATTTCTCTGACAAGTCCTAGTTCTTTCTGGTGGAGAAGGGCATTTAGAGGTCAAGATCTGGGCCCTTCGTGTGCTTGTTGCTGTTTGGGTGACAGAGCTAGAGAATGAATATGTGTGCGTGTAACATAATAGGTACATACATCAGTGTTTTGTTTTGTTTTGTTTTAGACAGGGTCTTGTTCTGTTGCCCAGGCTGGAGTACAGTGGCACAATCTTGGCTCACTGCAGCCTCAACCTCCTGGTCTTAAGCCGTCCTCAGCCTCCCAAGTAGCTGGAACTATAAGTATGCACCACCACATCTGGCTAATTTTTGTATTTTTTTCTTTGGTTTCGCCATGTTGCCCAGGGTGGTCTTAGGCTGGGCTCAAGTGATCTGCCTGCCTCATCCTCTCAAAGTGCTGGGATTACAGGCATGAGCCACCGTGTTTGGCCCACATCAGTATTTATGTTGTTATAAATTTATGTATATGGAAAACTACCGGTTCACACCAATATGATTGATTCTAATCCAACTAGGATTCATTCTAGTTTTCACTCTTTCTGTATTTATAACTTTCTTCTCTGAAAGTGGGAAACCTGGCTCCTGTCATCAGCAGGCTGTTTACTTACAGTTCAGTCCCCTTAGATAATCAACTTCCGATCTTGGCTGTCCCCCACTCCGTGGTGGGCACCCTTCTTCCTCTGTACAGCCTCTGGCACTCTACGGTCACCCTACGTGACCTCTGGCCCTCCCCCCACCTCCATGTTGACCCAGAGTGTGGCACCTTCCTCACTTGGCCTGGCCCTCCCTCTCCAACCCCCCATGTGCGGATGCCCTCGCCAGCCCGCCAGGGTGCTCCCCACGCCAGGCCAGCCCCTGCTCTTGTGTACTCCCTTGCCAGCCTTCCCACCTTGGGGACAAACACTTTATTTTTAATTACATTTGGAACCCTTGATTTATTATGCTGTTACTGCTGGCAGAAAATATGTCCTACGGAAATTATTGATAACCATCCATGGTGAAAAGAAAGCCTCTATTTATGAATTAGGTGCTTGGAATCAACTTCTCATTTTTGGCAGTCTCCTGGTTTGAGGGTTTAGTGCAGCACTTGCTCGAGGAAGGCAACATTTTTGTTTTTTAGGTAAAAGGATAATATGATTTCTTTCCCCCCAATTTATTTATGAGACATAGGCATTATCCAAGTTGTAACCCTGTATTTCTATTATTTCAGTTTTGGCTTGACTCATGAATTTAAGGCAAAGCAATTTTAATATTAGTATTAAGCTATAATTCATATTTCAGGATATGATTTCAGGATCATATTTCAGGATATGATTAAGCTATAATTCATATTTCAGGATATGATTTTCTTCCTTAGCAATTCTTCTAGACATATTTTCTTTGTGTGTGTGCATGTTTTTAAGACACCCTCATTAAAAAAAATGGTAGGTACATTTCAATCTCAAGACTAAAGATATTCTTGTTGATATGTTTCGCTGAATGCTTTGCTGTTCTTCAGTGAGTTATGTTCTGGAATGTCATCATTTATAATGAATTTCACTTACTCCTTGGGTCTCCATGCAGAGGCAGGAGCAAGGTCTGTTTCCCTAAAGGGAGAAGAACCTTGTTCCTAAATCAGAGTGGTGTGATTTCCAGGGACCCTGGTTGGGTCATGTTCCCCTTAAGGGGAACATGTGGGGCTGTCCTTCCCCCAGCTTGTTTATGTTTGTGGAAAGACTCACACTGGATTTGCTGAGGTCCAGAAAGCAGGAGAGAAAAGAGGCACTTCCCTGGCTCTTGTTCTTCCTCTGGGGAGCAGACTGTGCCTGGGGGAGGAGAAGGGGTTGACACACCCCTGCTCGGTACAGCGGTTCCCATGCTGGGTCAGAAGCAGTGGGAGTCCCTGGCTCTGACAAGGGCCTTTCCACTTTCCCCAAATTCAGTCCTGACGCTGCCCTCCAGGAGGCTCCTGTGTGCTGACAAGCCGGGGAGGGGGGCGGCCATCCTGGGCAAGGCACCTCCGTGGGGTGGGAGCTGGGGGTGCAGTGATGCTGCGAATTGGCTCATAGCAAACAAGGAGAGGAGGTGAAGGATCAAGATGCAGTATGTTTAGGCTAACAGGGCAGGAATGGGAAGTACACGAGTGGTAATGAGAAGACTTTTATGTATGTTTTCAGTGAAACCAAGGGGAGAGAGACTGTGGAGAGCTTGTTACATGCCAGTGAGTCATTTGAAATAAGATTCCAGGAAAGAATTATGGAGAGGATCTAGACAAAATATATACAACTATAGAATACAAATGTAGTTTATAAACGATTCCAAGCATACCTTATGGGTAGATTATACAGGATGCAGCTTCATTCCAAAACTCCCCCTATAGTATCTGCCTGTGCTCCAAACTTGGACCCCATAATAAATTGTCATTTCTTTGTAGCTTAAATCGTCCCTTTTTGATAAATGCTATTGGTAATACAACAGTTCATTGGTCTTGAAAACATAGTACATGGCTTGGTGGAGATTTTAGGGGCCATCATTTCTTAATCTGTTTTCTTAAGGTCTTAAACACCTTCAAGTTTCTTACTCGTTGGTATTCATGTGTTCTCTGAGTTTGTGGGTAAACTGGTGATTCTTTATCTCTTAACATATCTTTCCTCATGTTAATTGTTGGATGTCATTTGACTTAGGATGTTGAAAGCCAAAATAAAGCAGCGGGTCTGGAGCCTCAGGCCTTGGATGAGTTCACCAGTCTGCTGATTGCAGATGACACCCGTGTGGTGGTGGACCTGCTACTTGAAGCTGTCGGTGTGCAGCGCGGCCGGGACAGGGGCAGGGACGTGCTGTCTGCGGTGCTTTCGGCATGGGGACTGCCTCTCCGCAGGTGAGGTCTCAGGCGAGGGGCCGGGCGTCTGACCCTACTTTCCACAGGGCGCCAACCTTCCTCTCTCAAAGGAGAGCAGCTGTGCTCACGGTGATCTTGTGCTGGGTTTCATTCCTAGTAGACAGCAGGTTAGGAGCCTCCTTTAGGACAAAACGGTTTAGGCATTTACCCCAGTGACATCCTTTATCTGTTTTTTGTTGTTTGTTTTTTTGAGACGAGTCTTGCTCTGTCGCTCCAGGACTGGAGTTGAGACGTGAGCGGTCGATCTGGCTCAACATGCGAAGCGTCGCGCCTTCCAGGTTCACGTCCATTCTCCTGTCCTCAGCCTCCTTGAAGTTAGCCGTGTGATACAGGCAACCCGCCACCACACCCACTAATTGTTTTTTGTATTTTTAGTAGAGACCCCGGGGTTTCACTGTGTTAGCCAGGAATGGTCATTTGAACTCTCCTGTACCTCTTGACCACCCTGCCTCGGCCTCCCGCCAAAGTGCTGGGTTACAGGCGTGAGCATCAGCGCCTGGCCTTTACCCATAATTTTACAAACTGATTTGGGCAATCTTTTTTTTTTTGTGTTGAACGGTTTAGCGGTCCTTGACTTGTCACCGCAGGCTGGTAAGTGCAGTGATGGCGCAATGCAAGATGTCTTCGGTTCTTGCTGCAACCTCCACCTCCCAGGTTCACACCATTCCCTGCCTCAGCCTCCTGAGTAGCTGGGAATACAGGCCCCCTCACCAGCACGTCTATACCGATATTAACCGGAACTAATTTTTTTTGTGTTTTTTTTATGTAAGACGACGGGGGTTGTTTTCCCACGGTGTAGCCAAGGATGGTCTCAATCTCCTGAATACGTGATCACGC